CCGGGTCCGGGAGGGAGGGGAGGGAGGAGATGATGGTGGTAGAGGAGAGAGAAGATGAGGGACCTAAGCGAGCCCCAGGTGGGTCTTATATATGCAGGCCAGGGATTCAAACTCCTCCCGGCAAGAGGCACTGGCACCATTGGACGGCGAAACATACCGAGGCCCAGCAGGCGAGAAACCGTGCCCAGACCGAACAAAAAGAAGCGTTATCTGATGGTATCGCATGCGAGTCACGGCACTCAGAGTTGTGTCCAAATACGGACTTTGTCCGGATTAGGAAGCAAATGTTGGGACCCACAAAGGGCTGTGGCGCATGTTCGAGAGAACAAAAGCGCCATCATTTCACGAACGGACGGTCCGTTTCGCATGAAACTGACATCACTTTGTACGCATTTTGGCCACTAATATTATGCCAAAAGAAGAAAGAGGGGGAACGGAAAGTAGCAATTGTGAGGAGGCAAAAACTGAGCGTACTTTGATTGTGGCACTATAATTTCATTTTCGAACCACGTACCGGCCTCGTGTTTGGAGTGCCGCGGCAACACCCGGCAGACACGCTCCAGACGCTGTGCCATCCTTTTGTTTCCTTTCACGGCCTCAACTCCGGCCACAATGCAGGTGTTACGCTCTAGGATTGTTTCCTGTAAACCATACGCATGAATTGAACCACTGGAAACATCCTCTGACCGTCCAAAACAATCTCAAAAACGTACTGAATGCCACACACTAGCCTCTATCCATTTCCCCTTCACGCACCAACCCCCGGCGCCGAAGGGTCCACCCGCATCCCTACAACCTGCTTTTGCAATCCCGGCACCCACGCTCCATTACACTACGCTGTGGCACCCCAACTCTTCCAAAACCAGACGGAGACATAGGTCAAGCAATGCACCACTAAGTAGCTGGCAGAACCGGAAGATTGTCAAGACCAGGTTGGCACCGAGCTCGTCGAATCCGTTCTCTGTGCAGCACTAGTACTCAAGCCTATTTAGTCTCGATACCAGAAGTCGGTGGAGGGGTGGTCTTTTCAGCTGCCGGCGAATATTTTAGACTTAGAGTGGAGGGAGGGACCCGGGAGTGGCGGCCGAGGTGGAGTGGCCGTAGATGTGCGGAGTTGGAAGGACACGTGGGAATTGAAGGTCAGACAGTTGGGAACAAGTTGGGAATCGTCACTCTCGCAGCTCGGTCTCTCTCTGACTTTCTACACTAGTAAGGACTGGCATTATATCCAAGCCACCATTCGAGCTCAAGCTCAAGCTCAAGTCCTAGTGGTTTCTCTTACGACTATCGGATCGGAGGCTCGACACTACAAATATCTCTGTCACAGACTGCATTGCTAGTAAGTATCGTCCTGGAATCTTCAACGCGTTCTTTCGTCGCCTCCTTGAGGTTCGCGATAAGTCTACTAACACGCTCTACACCGTTCAAATTCTGCTCCGTCTTCTGCTCTCCTGGGTCAGCCACGTCTCTTCAAGTTTTGTGCCAGTGAGAAGACTCCGCGTCCGTAGAGATCGAGCACTCAGCATGCGATCGTCGCACGCATGCACGCGGCATCATATATAGCACTCGCCAACTCCGGAATCTCTCTCTCATCCATTCGAGGACAAGGACCGGTCACGGTGGTAGTGATTATATCCCTTGCTTCTGGCGTCTGGCAACCCTGAATCGAAGTCATGAGTCTCGCTCATGATCAGGTTGCGTGCCTATAATCCAAAAATGTCCTTTGCCGTTTTCTGACGCCCTTGGCTCTGAATTACACCCCCCCCCTCAGCACGGTTCGAGCCAGGTCGAAATCTTGGACATGCCGGTGTCACGGTATCATTATCTTCCCAATGCTCTGCTTTGTCGACGGCCGTTTGTGGGCTTCATTCATCACTTTCGTGCTTTTCTCCTGGTACTTATTGCCCGGACTCATGGGCCTCTCAAGTCCGAGTCTTCATGTCAATGTTCTTCGTCACCTTGAACTCCATCATATGGAACGATAACGCGATCGACTGGGTGCTTGTCTGGCTGGTGCGATACTTTATCTGTACATCTCTCTTCCTCTAGCGGTAATTCGATCTGAGTCCATAGACCATAGACAAACAAAGTTGACCGAAGTACTAATACAGTACGCATCTGATCTCACTGGCATCTGAATCCTCGTCGCTGCAAATGTAGGCTTTATAACCTTGCCTGACTCGGATTATCCCCCGCGACGCACGAGCGTCGAGAGTTGAGTTTGGAGTGAGGACTCGGATTGGGAACACACATCCTCGAGGTCGCCTTGTACCATTGTACGCAGCTCTACTGTTTTGTCCTTCTTGCTGACCGGCGATTGTATTGTAGATCAAGTGGTCGAAATCCCCTGACTCAATATCTCTGAATAAGCGGGACGTCGACCTGCGTTGGTCATGGTGTCATGGTCATATCTGCTCGCTGTTTGTGTACCTCTTCAACCTCTTGTACAGAAGTAAGTGCATTCCTCCCAAACCACGCTGATCTATGTCATCCATCATCCTTTTTTTCCTCAAAGACTACACTCACGAAAAGGACGACGAGCTCGAAATTCAAAGATCGCTCCCGGGTCAGCGCTTTCACTGGCACGGAGTCCGTCTCCGACCGTGCTAATACCTGGACCGGTGCCCTTACAAAGCCACCAGGATCTCATCTTGGTCCACCGCATCAAGAAACAGCAGCACGGTCATCCGAGTGGGGATAGTATTAGATAATAGATGCTTTGGCGAAACGCTCGACTTTTCATGTCCGAGCGGGACCCCGACAAGGAGAGAGCTGGAAGACGACCGTGACTTGATCGTCCTTCCAGTCTCTCCTTGACCTTATTTTCTTTAATGTCATTGTTTGTTTTTTCGGTTCTGCCTTTCGTTCTCCTGCTTCGCCTGTATAACCTATTTATACTCGATGTTGTAAAGTTGTGGACTTATATATAGCCGTAGAATCACTCCTGGGAAACGAATGATGTCCATTCCGAGTCATCCTGCTTCACCCGAAGTTCGTCACTGGTTCGGAAACGTCAGTTGTATGAGCGACGAGACAAGCTATAAGTTATGAACGGAAAGCAGGGTCCGACGGGCGACCGAAAGGGGGCGCGTCTGCGCCAGACGGAGCAACGTCAGGCGCACATTGCACAAGAGCGCGTAAACGGAGGGCCGGTCTCACGAGTTCGAGAGAATTGATGGAGATCGATGCGGAGAATGAGCAGAATGCGGGAGGACGGGGGCAGGAGGCTCCCCCTTGTTCGTTCGTTCGAAAGAAAATTGAAATGGAGGGGCGGGTCAAATCGTGTCGAGGGGATTTGGATTGTCGTATTTGTCCATGCCAAACAACGAAATGCGGGGTTTTTATCACATGCGGGTCTCGCGCTGCTTGACCCCGCATTCGAGCTTAGCAGCGACCCACGATAGACACTGACAGTTCCCGAATCGTCCATCATCCATCATCGTCATAAACACGTCCTCTCAACCAACGCTCGCGACAGTGACACAACTCACGAGAGCGCAAACGCAAGATGTCACTCCTCACGCCCTCTGAATCACACGCCTTCCAGTCCTTCCTCTCCGCCCTCGACTACGACGCCCACTCCCTCGCAGACCAGGTCTTCGCCCCAGAATGGTCCCTCCTCTCCGACGACATACACGTCCCCCAGCCGCCTCCGGGCAAGGAGGCACTCACGAAAGCCACGAAGGATCTCATGTCGCTTCAGCCCCAGTCCTTCAACCCCCCTTCGTACTCTTCATCATGGCCGTCACAACGACCACAGACAGCGCACTCGGCACCGAGCCCTCTGTCCACGAACTCGCCCGCACCGACACAGCAGCCCCCGACGGCGCACACCAACAGTAGCAACAACAACAACAACAACAACAACACGAATCCGTTCTTCCTCTTCCACCAACGCAGAGCCTCCTCCGCGGCCTACAACGATCCTCCTATCCCCACAGCAACGCACCCCCACGCCCTCATGCTCTCCACCTCCTCCTCCTCCTCCACCTCCTACGCACCCCATCCCCATACACCCACCTCACCTCCACCCACCTCATCCAAACGCTCCTATTCCGAAGACTCCTCCTCCACGTCACATAACACGACAGTCAAACGACGCCGTCCCTCCTCTCCCGGCCCCGCTCCTTCACGCCAAGCCTCGTCGCCCGGTGGTGGTGGTGGTGGTGGTGGCGGTGGTGGTGGGGCAGGAAAACCAGCATTATTGAGCGCATCCCAGAAAAAAGCGAATCATATACAATCAGAACAGAAGAGAAGAGCGAATATCAGACGGGGGTATGAGGCGCTTTGTGAGACTGTGCCGGCGTTGAAGGAGGCGATTCGGTTGGAGGATGAGGCGAATGCCATCGCTAATGGAAATGGGGGTGCGGGGGTGGCGAAGAGGAGGAAGAGTCGGAACAAGGGGGGGAGGGGCGATGGGAGGGGCGATGGGAATGGGAGGGGAGAGGGTAATGGGGAGGAGGGAGGGGAGGGGAAGGTGCTGGATGGGAGGGCGGGGCCGAGGAGCGAGAATATCGTTTTGCAGAAGAGTGCGTATCTCGTCTTTACTCCTTTTCTTTGCTTGGTTCTTGGTTCTTTCACTCATGTCCTGCGTTTGTAGCGGTGGATTACATCCAAGACATGCTCTCCGAGAAACAACACCTCCTCGCCCGTCTACAACGCGCCCAGGGCGCATTACCCCCCGGGCACCCTGCCCTTTCCACACTTGCCCTTTCCACACTTTCACTTTCCACACATGCACATGCGACGGGCTCGAGGGAGGATGCGAACGGCGTCAGGTTGTGGGAGAGGGAGTGGACGGGCGGGTCGGGGCTTAATGATGATAATTCGAGCGACGAGGAGGAGTAGGGCTCGGGCTGCGTGCTCGGGCTGTGTGCTCGGGCTCCTTTCATTGGATTTCGACGACGACTCGAGTTTGACTTCACTCCTGGAGCTTGCTATTATTGCTTGCATTTACTTACGCACTTAACAATTTCTAACCCAACATGCTGTACAAACGTCCAAACGTTCAAACCCTTCGTCTTCTTCTTCTTCTACATTTTCACCGTTTCGCGTTTCACCTTTTCGCCGTTTCGCATTTTCGCATTCACCTTTGTGCTTTGATTGACTACTAAGTATTCCCGTGTATTCGCTGCTACTTGCTTCAAATTTCCCAGTGTCCAGTGTCCAGTTGTTTTTATACCTACCTACCTACACCCTGACCCCATCCTATCCTGACCCCATCCTGTCATATCCTATCCTATCCTATCCTGTTGTGGAATGACAATGACAAGGACCATGACAAGGTCAATGTGCATGACGACGAGTCACGTACGTATGTCTATCATCGTCCTCACACAACGCATACTCGCACACTCATCCTATCCTGTTGTGCAATGACAATGACCATGACAAGGACAATGACGACGAGTCACGTACGTATGTCTATCATCGTCCTCACACAACGCATACTCGCACACTCTAACTGAGAGCTTGTGACTGCTACTTAGGCCTTCGGGCTTCGAGCTTCGGCGGTGGTCTTCTGACCGAATTTTCTTGGTGCGGTGCGGTGCGTTGACGAGAAGTGGTTCAATAAGTACATTGTGCGACTTGTTCAATAACTACGTTGCGCGACACGTCTCTATACGCTCCTCACCGGCACCATCGGATACACCGATCAGTGTCCTCCATTGGCGGTCACAGTGTAAGTATACGTATGCCAGTGGTTCCCACGGTGTCGGGTCCGTTTTCTTCGTCCGAGTCTTATATTTGTCTTGCGGCCGTCGTGGTCATCGTGGTCATGCTCGTCGTGTGCGTGGTCGTGGTCGTGGTCGTGTGCTCGAAAAGAACGTACCTGGTGACGATGATCGATGCCCGAGAACGTGCCCCATGGCCGAAGTGGCGTGTCTGCGTGTGGCGATTCTGGCGAACTGCGAAGCATGATCGGCGACACATGGCATGGCGTTGTTTGGCAATAGTGTCACGAGTGGCGCCAGCGCTAAAGTTGAAGGATAGGAGGATAGGGGCCACACTCAGCTGTTACCCTGAGTACGAGTTCAGCCAGTGAGTGGTTGGTGATCATGAGGGGTGTTTGTTGGTCCTCGTGGATGCATATTGTACCCCGAACATACACTGGCAATCACGATGTAAAGTGTACTTCCTCTTCTTTCTCCTGGTCGGTCCCGCTTGGGCTTGGGCATCCGAGTCAAGACGGCGTCGGACTGTTCTAGTATCTAGTATCTACTTGCCCCCGCTCGAACGACCGTGTTGCTTGATAAGGTGATATCCTGCCAGTGGTGGGTAGGTTCAAGTTCGGGTTTTGGAAGGGTGGGGCATGACCTTCGAAGACCCTCGTCCTCGTCGCCGTCCTTCTAGAATCTGCATCATCTGAATCGTCCGAGTTGACTCGGACATCGACGGTAATGAGCGCTGAGCGCCAACGACGAATGGCACGTCCGACTCTCCACCTCCACAAACCCCGGCCCAAGTTCCAACATCTCGAGGGTCCTGTTCCCGCGGTTGTCTTCTAAAGTCCAATGCAGGCGCGAAACAGCTTTAATTCAAATCTCCAAGAAAGAAAATTGATAATTAGGAATCTTGGTTTCAGTAGCACAAATCCTCCAAACCCGGAACTACCATCCCCGCCTCCCCCCACTAGTACTCGCGCCTCCCCACCATACCTCCCTCCCCCCACCAAAAAAAAAACCCCCCAAAGACCGAAGAGCACAAAGAACACCCCCGCACGCACAAAGAACGACCGTCGCTGCCCCACCTCTCCACCTCTCCACCTCGCCCGTCCGGCGGAATCCGCGCTACCCTCGAGCCTCGAAGAAGCCTGAGTTCGCAGCCAAGTTCTAACCCAGGGGGTAGAATACGTGTTGATGGAGAGGGAGATGAGTGGTACGGAGTGGTGGAGGGGGCGAGGAGGAGGGAGGAGAGGGCGAGGAGGGAGGAGAGGGCGAGGAGGCGGATGAAGGGTGTGTGAGGAGGCGGATGAAGGGTGTGTGTGTAGGGGTTTGTGTAGGCGAAGGAGGCGGAGGCGGATGAGCTCGCGGTGATCGCTGACGTTGAGGATGCGGAGGATGGTGAGTGCTAGATGGCGGTGATAACAGAGGTTAGCGCAATTTCAGAAGACAGGACTCACTTCCATATGAGAGGTCGAAGAGGCCAGTGATCAGAAGTACACAGACGAAGAGCGGATCCGACCACGGCACCATAATCAACACATGCACACGTCCCGCCTCTTCATAGATATTGAACTGATGGCCCTCAACACTCCAATACACGATCAGCATAAAATATCGCAAGATAAGTCGGTCGAGTCGTAAGTATGCAATAGACGCGCAGAATTCAACCTCGGGCACCAGAATTCCCAGTCAGAGTCCTAGCTCCAAATCAACTCTGGAGAGGGAGACGTTTGCTGCCACAATAGCCTGAGAGCGCGAGGCTTGCTGGTGAGAGATGCCACATCGGCCGAGTTGTGGTGTGTTTTGTTTGTAGAGAGAGCTTGAGAGGGGAAACCGTACAGGTATCGCACCAGGCGGGGGGTAGAGTTGATCGTGCTATCGTTTTCTGCTATGGGGTTTACGATGAACACGAGATACGAATGGCTCGTCCAGGCGATGAAGAGACATATGCGACGCTGATGGAGGGCAATCGTCTGCGTCTACTGAGAGTCAGAAAGCTCGCTCATGGAGCTTCAGCTGACGAGCGCATTGCGCAAGCAAAGTACGAACTCAATAGTCGTTCCTTTTAGTTGGCCTAAGTATTAATAGCACAGGTCAACGGCAGAGCGCGTTACTTATTCGAATGGTCGTTTGTTATAGTTGAATTTGTTAGCTACAAGTATCCCAAGGAAGCAGAGAACTGTCGATGAAAAGCGCGTTCAACGAGATCCAGATGATACTAGCAACGTAACCTGTGACAGAAGGATATTTTATAGCGTCGAGCCCATCCGATAGTGGGCATCAAAGGAGCCACTGGGACTTGAGCTCGAGTGGTGGCTTGGGTGTAGTGTTAGTGGAAAGCAGAGACTGCAGAGTTGAGAATCGCAGTGCGATTCTCAACTTTCTGACCTTCAATCTCCACGTGTTTTTCGCGCTCCGCACGCCTTCAGCCACTCAGCCTCACTTCCGGCTAGGCTTTCCCGTCCTCTCATTCGCCGTCAGCAGGAGTCTGGAGAGAACATCCCCCCAATGGCTGATATCGAGACTAGGTGTGGTCGAGAGCGGTGCAAAGAGCGGATTTCGACAGGCTCGCTGCCATTTTCTGGGGGATACTCTTCTGGTGCTTGTGTTGGTGTTGGACCTACGTATCCGCCTGGATTTGGAAGAGCGACGGGGGCGCCAGTACCGTGCTACAGTGTATGTACGGTGGAGCGAGGGTGCCGGGGTTGCCACAAAAACAGGTTGCGGGTGGACCTTCGGCGCCGGGGTTTGGTGGGTGGATGGGAGATAGATAGCAAGTGTGTGGGATTCAGTGCGTATTCGAGATTGTTTTGGACGGCCAGTGAGTGTTTCCAGGGGTTCAATTCACCCGTATGGTTTACAGGAAACAATCCTAGAGTATGGTACGCCTAAAGGACGCGGTAGGATTTGACGCGTCGCGTCATCCGGTTAGGCCCGGTCTAGGTGACACATCTCGTCGTCGGCACCTCTGTCTCATTGTCTCATCCTGCCTATCATCCCGTTGACGTGACATTGCTGGGGGGACGAGGACGTCGAGGTGGCAGAGAAGGTTGTGGCGTTGACGGAGAACGACATGTCAGTGGAGGTAGCGGTAGCACTAACAGAAGAGAACAAGCTGCCCGTGGAGGTGACAACGCAGTCCGTCGAAACTACCGAAGAAGACGCTGAAACCGACGGAAGAGAGGAAGAGAGGGCTGAGGGGGGCAAGGGCAGAGCGGAGATGGACGAAGAGGCCAATTGTCTGCGGCTGTGGCCCGACGAGAGGACGATATTGAGGCCGATGTACTCGAACGTAGTGTACGAGAGACTGAAACCGAACTCAAAGCGGGAATCGATGTTGTTCGCGTCAAAGTGCCTGCACAACATAACAATATTCAGTCTTTGTACGTTGAACGAATCCGGAAAAGAGTGAACCCTCCTATAGTCAATGTTCAACGTCTCGTTGTACACGATCTGCGGCACCCGGCGTCAGAACCCACGATGAGTAGGCCTGCAACCAAAAGATGCTGGTCAACGACGGCACGATCCTTGAAGTGGAGGTTGATGACACAAAATACACACGTTTGATTTTGTCGACGTTGAGAGGCAAGGTATCGTTGGTGTTCTTCGGGAGCACAGTGCTCGCCGCGCCGATCTCGCGGATGACTTTATAATGGTCTCCTTGCATGCTATATTACACCAAACAGTCAGTCAAACCCAACGTACTCGCCACACCCCTGAGATGACAAGGGAAAAAAGGCACTCACTTAACATGCTCGTTGACCACCACGCCATTCAACTCCGTCTCCTCGGTCAAGTAGCTGAAGTTCACCTCCGGATAATGAGGGGAGTCCTGTCCCAACCTGAAATACGCCGCCATCGTCCTCTCGACCATATCCTGCACCCTAGCAGCGGGAACGGAAACATTCTTGACCGATTCTATGAGCGCGGAGCCCCACCAGGATGAGCTAGTCTGGTCGGGATTGGGTTCGTCGGGCTGGCCGTAGGCCATGAAACCTGGCATGTTCATGTCTGTGCCGGCAAGCGCGGATCGGACGCCGTTGATCATGGCTGCCCAGTCAGAGACGACGAAGCCTTGGAAGTCGAGTTCCTCCTATTCGTACGAACTTTGTACGAACAACACAGTCAGACGAGTCCACCCTGAGGGTCAGGCAGAAAGGATCGTACCTTTAGAATTCCACTGATGATCTTCGAGGTTTAGCACGTTTGCGTCAGGTTGACCTTGTTGTAGCTGCACATGATGGAACCGACACCGGCGTTCATGGCTTCAGCGAATGGCCAGACATAAAGCTCGTGCATCGTGCGGTCGTCGATGTCGGAGGAGTAGACTTGAGCGGCCTCGGAACCACCGCGGAAGTGTTCTTGTTCATTGCCGATGCTGGATGGGTGGGGGAAAGGGGAAGAGTGGAGATGGACAAAGAGGCTTCCTGTCTGCGACTGTGGCCCGACGAGGGAACAATTAGTCTCCCAAAGGCAGAGTAGACGGGATTTCAACCGGGCAAGCGAGGATCATCTGTCGGAACAATATCGACGAACGCTGAGCGGACTTCGGAATGTGTCCCCGGAACTGTGGGGGAGATGTCGGCCCCACAGTTCCGGGGACAGACTCGCGTGGTTCTGTTCCGTGATTATATAATCACAGACTTGGGGCAAGCAGAAATATTTGTGGAAGGTTCCCTATTGGCTATAAGCCCACAGATGTTCGTTATGGTCTGTGAGTAGGGTACATTTATGTCTGGAACCAAAAAAGAAATTACCTTGAGCAACGAATGTGATGTGGTAGATGGTTAATAAGGGTGTGGTGACCTCGCCACAACCTCGCCAACAGAACATGGGGTGTATATGCTCATTTGGTGCACCATTCGCCAGTGCGACTACAAGCATGAAATATAAAATATCGATGTAATTATTGAGAAAATCTATAGCGAAACAGGCACACATGCGATGTTACATGCCAAAATAACCCATACGGTGTGTCAACGCCACATCCGTGCCATGACGCGGCAAATCCTACCGCGTCCTTTAGGCCAACCTTACCTAGAGTGTAACACCTGCATTGTGGCCGGAGTTGAGGCCGTGAAAGGAAACAAAAGGATGGCACAGCGCTCGGAGTCGTTCCGGTGTCCGCCGGTGCCGCCGGGGCACTGCAAACACGAGGCCGGTACGTGGTTCGAAAATGAAATTATAGTGCCACAATCAAAGTACGCTCAGCTTTCGCCTCCTGACAATTGCTGCTGTTTGTGCCCCCTCTTTCTGTTTTTGGCATAATATCACTGGTCGAAATGCGCACAAAGTGATGTAAATTTCTTGCAAAACGGACCGTTCGTTCGCGAGATAATCGCGCTTTCGTTCTCTCGAACACGCGCCACAGCCCTTTGTGGGTCCCAACATTCGCTTCCTAATCCGGACAAAGTCCGTATTTGGACACAACTCTGGGTGCCGTGACTCGCATGCGACCATCAGATAACGCTTCTTTGTGTGCGATCTGGGCACGGTTTCTGGCCTGCTGGGCCTCGGTATGTTTCGCCGTCCAATGGTGCCAGTGCGTCTTGCCGGGAGGAGTTTGAATCGTTTCCCTGGCTATATAAGACCCACCTGGGGCTCGCTTAGGTCCCCCATCTTCTCTCTCCTCTACCACCACCATCTCCTCCCTCCCCTCCCCTCCCCTCCCCTCCCCTCCCCTCCCTCCCGGACCCGGACCCAAGGTGAGTCTCTTCAACCTTTCTCTTATCCTGTGCTCCCATCCTCTCCTGCTTGTGCCCCCCTCCCTCAATGTTCAGCGTGCTGATTCATCTTGATTCCCATAGGCCGCCCAATCAAGACCGGTGTCAAGACTCAACATCAACTACCAAGACCTCAAGCCGGGACCGTATCGGATTGGGATCGCTCGCGACGCGATCGACAGGCCATGGGTGTCACGGGGATGTGCGCAGAGTCGCGCTGCGGCCTCAAGAACCTCGAGGGATATACGGCATCCCGGACACAATACCCTATTAACCCCTCATTAAAGGACATGCCGGCCAGCGTCGTGCATTGTCCTGGGGATGGTCCAATCTTTCATTTGCTAGACACCCTTCGGGGTGTCACTTTCTCTTCGAGGCTAGTCCTCTCATTATGTCCCCTGGTATGGCATCGGCCTCTTCGTGGCTCAGGGGATTAGTACCTCTTCGGAGGGAAGCTAACAGACGCCCCGCTCGTTGGGGTTCTCTCCCCCAGATCGGCACGAGCTCCGTGTCCTGCATCTATGGCCTTCGTGCGTCGTATTTTCTTTGGGCTTTGGCGACGATGATGGTTGTATACTGACGTCAATATATCTGTATAGGAATGACCCTGACATGGGCAAGGCGGAGAGAGAGAGAGCCTTTTGGACTGGATTATTGAGCGGACTCCCTTCTGGACACGGTACGCCCCCTTCCAACCACAATGGGGTTGACTCCTCGGTTATTATTCCCTATATTACCCTCTTGGATTTGGGGGTCCGGATCCCTATTGTGCCCGGCATCGTTGTTGGCGGTACTAGAACCGCTTGCGCGACACCCACGATGAACCTTTATCTCTTTTCCTTTCTTGGGTTTCGTTGGGGGAGTTTTCGCACTTTGAGTGCATTCTACTGAGGCTAGGCCTCCCTTTTTTCTCCTGGTACTACGGCGTCGGCCTCTTCGTGGCCCAGGAGACCAGTACCTCCTCGGAGGGAAGCTAACAGACGTCTGAGTCCCTCGCCCGTTGGTGTTCTCTCCCCCAGTTCGGCACGGGTGTCGTATTATACTTCCCTGACCACTTCTTACAGCTTTTACAGGTGTGCGTGTCGTATGGATCCTCAGCTCCGACGTCTTGTGACCTGCGGTGACACTTCTCTTCTGCTCGGGCGACGCTCTGAAGCTCAAACGGCCTCTCGTTTAGCCGTTACTCCCCCCGCCCACCCGCCCACCGATCATCGACCTTGCTCTCAGTTTTAGGCAACCTCTGTTTTCTCTCCCTTTCGCTCTTTCTTTATCTTTTCGCTCTCGCTTTTATCTTCACTCTCCTCTACGGCGACACCCTTGGGTCATATCTATTTATTTATATCTGTGCTTGTCTCAAGCCTTCAGCTTGATCCCCTCCCCTGGTATGACGTCGACCTTGTCGTGGTCCGGGGGCTCTAGTACCTCAGCAGCCAACCCTCTGAGCGAAGCCAAAAGACGTCTACTGACAGATGAGTGGATCTACGTTTCGGTCTACATATTTCTTCTAACCTGTTCTGTGCAATTTTAATTCAGGTGCATTCGTGCGAGGAAGCTCAAGACGATCGACGCCCTGAGCATCAACACTCGGGCACGACGACGGGTCTGGTCGACGACTCCAATCAAGCACGATATCAATGGGCAGTGGTCTCTGGGGTATCTTCGGCTGGCTCTCTGGGGCGGGTCTCTGGGGCGTCTTGCGCTGGGTCTCTGGGTTTGCTGGGTCTCTGGGTTTGCTGGGTCTCTGGGTTTGCTGGGTCTCTAGGTCTGCTTGGCCTCTTCGTTTGCTAGGTCTTGTGGGCTTGGTATGCTGCTGGGTCTCATGGGCTTGGTCTCTTGATTTCTGGGCTGAGGCTGGGCTGACTAGAGCTAGGCGACATCGACATCGACCTCACGACCGAGCTCAAGCACGACTTCAACATCGACCTCACGAGCGAGATCAAGCACGACGTCGACACCGAGCTCCAACGAGCTTCAATACCGGTCCCCTGGGAGAGCGTAGACCTTGTCGTGGTCCAGGGGCTTTAGTACCTCAGAGTCCGATCCTCTGGGGGAAACTAACAGACGCTCGCATGGTACGTCTCCTACTTCCTACTACGTAGCTGATTATTTTCTAGATTCTCCTACAGGAGTGGTGTCCGACACAAACTCATAGTGTCTCGAGAAACATTTATTGATCAGTGAGTCTTCCCTCTCGATGCACGCATATTAGTGACCACGCTGACTTCCTCCTCAGTTTAACTACAGATGCGTGACTGTGTGAATGTGAGAGAATGGCGACGACCTGCCATCGACAGCGGCGCCCTAGACACGTCCTCGACACCGAGCTCCAATGAGCTTCAAGACCGGTCCCCTGGGAAGCGTCGACCTTGCCGTGGTCCAGGGGCTCTAGTACCTCTTCGGAGGGAAGCCAACAGACGCTTACTAACAGGTGAGTGGATCTATGTTCTCGCCCACATATTTTTTACTGATTCGTTCTGCGCAGTTTTATTTCAGGACGGTGTGTGTCAGTAAGCTCAAGACGATCGACTCCCTGAGCATCAACACTCGGGCACGACGACGGGTCTGGTCGACGACTCCAATCAAGCACGACATCAACACTGGGCGGCGGGATCTGGGGTATCTTGGGCTGGGTCTGCTGGGTCTCCTGTATCTGCTAGGTCTCTTCGTTTGCTGTGTCACGTGGGCTTGGCCTCTAGGTTGTTGGGTCTCGTGGGCTTGATCTCTAGCTGCTAGGCGACATCGACCTCACGACCGAGATCAAGCACGACATCGACACCGTGCCCCAAGTGCTTCAAGTCCGGTCCCCTGGGATAGCGTCGGCCTTGTCGTGGTCCAGGGGCTCTAGTACCTCAGAGCCCGCTCCTCTGGGGGAAGCCAACAGACGCTACTAACGGGTGAGTGGCTTGACCCTTCGATCCACTTCACTCGTATATTCCCTTTATGGCCTTCGTGCGTCATGTTTCGTTCTGGTCATTGTGGCTGTATGCTGACGCCGATATGCCTGTATAGGAATGACCCCAACATGGGCAAGGCGGAGAGAGAGAGTCTCCTGGATTGGATTACTCAGTGAACTCCCTTCTGTACCCGGTACGCCCCCTCCGACCACAGTGGACCGAAAACCTCGATTATTATTCTCCATATTACCTTCTCGGATTTCGAGGCCCGGATCCCAGGAGGCTCATCGTCGTTGCTAGCGGTACCGGCAGTGCGTGCGCGACGCCAACAATGTACTTTTTTCTGTTTTATTTCTTTGGTCTCGTTGGGGGAGTTTTCGCACTTTTGAGTGTATTCTACCGAGGCTAGGCCTCCCTTTTTTCTCCTGGTATGGCGTCGGCCTCTTCGCGGCCCAGGAGACTAGTACCTCTTCGGAGGGAAGCCAACAGACGTCGGTTTGTACTCTACGGTACTGTAACTTGTTCGTGTAGCGCATCGTTGTAGATACATATATTGTCAGTGGCTGGTAGTGCTCTTTCAGGCTCTACGAGCATGTGAATACTCTGCTTATCGTCGATGACGGTGAATATATACTTGTGCAAATAGCGATGAAGTGTTAAGAAGCGCAGTGCAATAGAGATATGACAGAGTGACCAACTGCGTGTGGCGAACTTCAAAGCACGGGTCGCGATCGGCGACACATGGCATTGTTTGGCAATAGTGTCACGAGTGGCGCCTTGTAGCTTGAAGGTTAGGGGCCACACTGTTCTCCTGTGTGAGGGATGTTTTTGGGATGTTTGTTGGTCCTCGTGGATGCGTGTTGGATCCCGAATATACGAGTGTGCTTCCTTTCTTCCTTTTTTCTCGATCTGGGCTCCTGAGTCAGACTTGAGTCATACGGCCAGGCGATTCGGTCATCCACTGGTGGTGACTGGGGACCATGTGTGGCAGCTATCGATCTTTAAAATATTCAGCAGCGCGCCCAAACAGCAGAAGATCCAATGCATGTATAATTATATAAATAGTCCTAAAATACAATTCTCAAATCACAGACTCCTCTTCGTAGTATGTAGTGATAGTCTGCGTCTCCATCAGAAATGAACAAGGACGTACATCGCCACAGAATCACAACCTCCTCAAAGCCCTGGACTCCACGCTCTCCCTCTGAATATAACAACCCTCTAAAGGCTCGAGATCTACGGCCCGGTGATCAAAACCGTGACGTTCATACAATTGGGTTAAACGTCTTGGCTGTTCTGACCGTGGTTCTGAAGGTGCCACTGGATGAGAGACGTCGCCGGCATACGCATACGCCTTCAAAGGACTCGGACTGGAAAGATGTTGAGCCGCTTGAAAGGTCTCGTCTGTGTCCTTGTCTGAGGCTTCGGCGGCTCGGATGTGGAGGAGGAAGCGATTGACGAGGAGTGTGACCATTGCCCAGACGAAGCTGCAGAACGGTAGCGCCCACGTTAGGAATTGGAAGTCAGAGTGAAACACTCGAGTGAATAGGTGCTTAGGTCTGATACGTACGCGGTGACGGTCATGATTTTGTGCGAGTCCCCAAACGCGGCGAACCAAGTGTTCAGAGCGTCAAGACATGTTTTGATCTTAATCAAGCAGAAGATCCACGTCAGCGCAAGCAAGCAACAAGTCAAGGTAAGCAGCCCACTCACACAGAAGAAACAGGCACCATCTTGACGGACGACGCTCGTAGCCCCGACGTCTCCTGGTCGCGGTCTCGACAGTGAGCTGTACAGTGTTAGGCTGAAGGCGAGGAGGTCGAAGGGCAGCTGATGTATATATATAGATATACGTGTGCGACCGCATTCAATATTCTTCAGCCACGGGATGATGGCAGACAAAGGTGAAGAATATGCTTGATGCATGAACGTGAACGCACCGATGAGGCCCAGACGATCGTTAGAAGAGGTGAGGTCTGTGTGGCGACACACATACGGACGTTGTTGTGCCATACGATGTGCGCTATAGTATTCAGTTCGAACGTTGAGCGGACGAAATAGTTTGACGTGAGAAGTTTTTAGGCCGGCGAGGAGTTTTACTCACGCGCAAGATGAATGACGGTCATTATGACCATGGTCAGTGTCGCGACGGCGGTCGCGAAGAAAGCGGTCGCGAGGAGTTTTAGTATGGTCTATAGCATATAGTCAGGACATGAGCTCCGGGAACAATGTTCGTTTTGGATGGATCGACATACCTTTTGTCTATCCCACAGCACAGCTACTCGCAGCAACATAAGGAAATGGCCGAAGATGATCGAATAGACAGAGCAGACGAAGGTAGCCTTGATCAAGTGTTGGCATCTATAAGGAGTTCGGAAGCACGTTCAAGAGCTAGTCGGAAGTACGGACGGTCTCGTCGGAGGGGGCTGGAAACAGATGTATGACATACGTCTGCGGTGCCATCAGTTCCAACCGCCTATACCGTCAAAGTGTCGGACGACGTACTGTGTCTGAATGAGCATTCTCACTGATTCCACTCGACACTACAATGCCCAACAAAGAATAAGCCGACAGTCAAGATCGATGCATTTTTCACTGGATGCACTCACAATGAGCGTTCATCAGAAGGCATGCAAGAGCAAGATATTTGTTGAGAAGAAAACCATTGCGACCGAATGATGGACGAGCCCTCCAGACGAGGGATACTTCGGCAGAAAACGTGAGAATGTGGTCGTAAAACATCGCGACGAGTCCGATGACTATGTGCATAGCATGAAAAAATATCAGATGTCCGAAGAATGATATATGCTTCCGAGTACGAGTAGGACGCTTACCCGTCATGTATCGTGTCGCCAGGCCATTCAGGAAGACAGTGAGCGGTATGGTCGAGCCATCTTGCATAGAGGATGTTATAGCTGGGAAGGACATTGTCGTGAAGTGTGCGTTTCTGGAGAAGTCTTCGAGAATGGGACAGAGAAAGGAATGAATGTGGACCCAGTTGGTGGACGTGGGGTGAACAGTGATGGAGGAAAGAAGGAGGAGGTAGGGACACCATGCGAGACCGCGATGGCCATCGAGGCCATCGTAGTCATATTAGAGCAAGAGCATGCAGTGACAGTGCTCCGAGGCGTGGGTGACAGTGCTCCATTCGGACGGAACAATCCCAGGCGAAGCACCTAGCGCCTAATCAGGCTCAAGCATTGTTCCCATCGACAGCTTCCTGTGCGATGCCACACCTTCATGTCTACCCAACCCTCACCATCCAGAGTCATGGGAATATAACGGCCGCCGTTCGCATGCAGAAGGGAAGGAGAAAAATCTGGGCATTGTGGACATACGGCGAGCTTTCGCGACTGTGGCGGGTGAGGAGCCGCTGGCGCGATGCTCGCTGGTCGCTAAGGTCTGATCATCATGGAGGCGGTATCAAAAAGGATGAGGATTGCGTTTCTTTTGGTCACAGTTGATAGGAGACCAAGAGATGTGTTTCGCCGAACCGCGATTGCACGCAAATAGAAATTCCACTGCGCATATGCTCAGATGATCAGACCAAAGCCGAGCAAATCACCTAGACGGTGTCATTGCGGTACGCCGACGGTATGATCGACATCTTGATTCGAGCTCCACATTGTAGATGTAGATCACAGTACAGGTTCTGTGAGATCCTAGGACCTTTACGCTCTACTCAAGAGAGGCACGGCCCCTTGTATAACAAGAGTTGTATCCCCACAAGGGAACAACGCGAGAATTCAACATACTCAAAATATGTCTGTGACGCCCTGGACAGGGGGTGATATCGGGCAGTCGCCCACAAAATTCCACTAGGAACGGTCGACGGTCTTGAGCTGTTGAGAGACCTGATAGATCTTTGTATTCACTGTAGAAATCCCACCTTCATGCCAAGACCCTGAAATTCGTCACATGTTACGTTACAAGAAAGCAGGTTCAGAGAGTGACGCACCGCTAAACAATCAGGTTACACCAATCGAGCTAAGTTAAAACATACAGCGTCACTGAGCCGGATTGCCGATTTGGAGGAAGATAAGAGCAAGTGGACTGAGTTGAACCTGGTTCAATGTGTGAGCTTGGGAACTGGCATTGAGTCTCTCACAGACAACCGGAGATACACAGTGAAGACACGTCGGTCAGCAGGGGAGCGTGAGGGTTCGAGTGAACGAGAATCGTCCGAGGACGGAATGGCCCTCGCGCCGGAAAGTGCCGACTTCGTGTCGACGGGAGCACGTGAAATTGTTTGCCTTTGTTGAATTCAGAAGCTATTGGCTTCCGAATTGGCCACCCCGATAACCTTTTTTAAAAGAACTCAACTCAGGCCGCTGCTCACCGCTCTTGTCACGAGAGCGTCTATCGCATAGTCACCTTCATTATCTTGATATCATGCTAGTCATTTAAGTCGAGCGCGAACTCGACTCCGAACAGCTCCGCAAGGCTTGGACTTGACTTGAACTTCTTCAACTGACTCTTATTGACTCGGACTCGGAGGCTCGCTCTTCAGCTTCAAAGAAATAACCCGCTGGCGGAGGCAGCCTAGGATATGCCGTCATTCAGTGAATTTGGGTTCTATCATGGGGGTGCTGCAAGAACGGCGGTGAGCTGTCTGATGTCCGATGTTGAGAAGTAGCAAAAACGACGAACACATACCTGAGCGCGCCGCTTAGTGTCAACGATGCTCCATATCACAGTTGTCTCCATCCAACCCTCTTCCGCTTGCGTCGTCTTCATGTCGAAAGAAAACTCTACAAGCGGACCTCCTACGTAGATAATAACCGACTCCAGCAATGGACACAAAGCGCCAAGGTCTTGTAAGAATTGGACCGGATAATCCAAATACAGTTGTAGCCACGGTTCCACGATATCCCAGGCCTTATCGCGGTCATCACTGTGATTTTCGTCGAGTCCATAGGCAGCAAAATCAAGCTCGCCGATTCCGAGGGGGATGTCCGCCGCTGATACTTCATCGAGATCGCTCTCCCAAAGTGGAACGTTGAGGAGTTCGATCGCAGTGATCTTCTGCAACGTCGAATGCGAGGCCTTGAGAGAGTCGAAGATATCATGCTAGATATATAAATGCAATGCAAATTAACTGCTTCACCCGAACAAAAAAGTTTGTATTCAGGCGTACTATTGTAGTCGTAGCATCATCTGTGTCTTCAATTGCAATGCTTATTAATTCAGTGAACGGCGCTGTTCTCGTGAACAGTGGGAGAGAGAGGACGCCGGCCTTCGTGAGGGTCAGAAAAGCCTTATGAATGCACCACTGAGACGTTTCCTCATTTCCGTCGCGTAGCCCTGGGGTAACCGCTCGTTCAAGGGTTAAGCCCTCGAATCCTATAGAATCTTCAACCCCCTCCGCCGTCGCCGCCACACACAATTCTGTCATACACGGGAGTGGTGACAGCAGAGGAAACTTTAGAAGTAAGGATGATGGTTGCCCAATGACCTTGATGAGCCTGAGTGAAGGATTACGGGATAGCAACGAGCTTTTCTGGAAGTCGAGGTAGATGCTGGATGACAGGGAGGTGACCTGGAACTCGATGGTCTCCAGCCCCTTCAAAGACATCGACTGCCATCGTTGCGGATCACCGTCGTACAATACGAGCTTTTTGAGTCGTGCGCCATCTCCGGGGCGGAAAATGATGGCCACGGCTTCCCACTGAAGACGGGATGAATCGAAGAGTACGAGTTGTCGACAGCCGATACGGCTTAGCGAGGTGGATTGGATGGCTTCGTGGTCTAGATGGTAGAGCTGTTCAGATGAGTCTATCGCGACGGTCTTGAGCGAGGGGTGGTCATTCACGACGTTTATAAGTTCCAGCGTCATGGGTGGGGTCACGGGATCGAAGTTTATATCGAGATGGATGAGGCCTGGTGCAGATCTCAGAAGATCCTGCACGATGCGTTCGAAATGAACCCATTGGATTTCGAACATATTTACGTCCGAAAACCCGTTTTGTCTTAGGTGCACAGAGCTATGATTGTTTGCGCATCAGCTCGGCATCCTTATGCGAAGGGAGACATATGAATGAAGCGCACCGAAGGAGCGTGGTCACGTCCGGACGAGACAAAATCGTCTTTTGTAAGAAGTCCCGTTCCGAGTCCAGAGAGAAGATGTCTAAGCCGATAGATAGTACCCGAAACTGCACCGGAAAACAGATGGTTCGAATACGGCGATTGAGTGCGCAGAGGCTCAGCAGGGTACAGTCGAGGTAATAATGTCGAGGAACGGGATCGACGTCAGGCTGATACCAATCCGATGCGAAATACTTCGCTATCTCAAGGATTAGCTCGTCTGGCAAGATTGACAGCGTCATTTTGGTCCCAGACTATGCGCCAGGGCCACTGTGGAAGACGGATAGAGTGAAATTCAGCCAAATTTAAGGTGAATTTCATGTTTCACCCAATTTTCGGTGACCGCCGCTCAACCGCCGCTAGGCCTGCGGATGGCTTCGTTGAAATTCACCCAAACTTTGCAGGGGAGCAACAAGCCTCTTAAAATTCAAACTAAATTCATATGTAAATACGGTAGAGCAAGATCTGTTGTGTGGCTGACTCGTCAACGTCGAAACCGTGCAGTGTGCGGTGAATCGAGACGAAGTACTGCGAAGGACGGTGGCCACAAAGTAGAGCAGAGTGGCGTAGCCTGTGGGGCAGATGACGTCATAGTCGCGTCTTGCCTCAACGAGTCGACTCGCAGATCTCTTTGCTCTCTCTCTACCACCACCACCACCACCACCACCACCACCACCACCACTTCTGGGTCTTCGTCAACATCGGACGCGACTTACTTTGCTTTCAGCTGGAATCTAGCTAGATCTCTGGCTGCCGCTCACGCTTCATGAGTCTATAGCTTGCTTTGCCGGTCTCTGCTTGATCTCAGCTGTCGAGTCTTGACATCCGCTTGCCTGCTGTCAAGGAACGCGATCCGAAACACTCTTCAGTAACGTTGGGCAATTTTCTGTGGGAGATTTTTGGAGACGTGCATTTGACGGCTACCAGAAAGGTGCAGTCGTCCTTTCACTCCATTCTTTGTTTGCTGTTGGGAGCGCGAAGTGCTTTACAATCGTTATATATGACCCAAAAATCACTTTCAACTTCACAAACTGTCGAGGTGCCCTGCTCGCCAATCCCATTCCTTCCTTGGTGATCGTGCTTATGATGTCTGCTCCGTTGGTTGTATACTGACTTGACTTCGTGCACTCACAGATTCTTGACAGTTGTCAACTCTCCATAGCCTTTCCGCCACTCCCTCTCTCTTCCTCGGACCTCTCAATGGTTGGTTCAACTTTAACGGGGATGGGTGAAGTTGCTGAGATAGGGCACAGATAAGGTGTTTCAGTAGTATGTAGGAGTATGTTATGTTTAATGTATTTATGTATTTATGTATATTACCTACATAATCACTAGTAAATCATTTTTTTCTCGTGTTCCCGGCTCTCTCGGGATTCGAAACAGCGTCACAATATATTAGTAGGGCCTAAGCTGGGAAGCGTGAACTAGCTATCGGACCTCCCAGAGTCAACCGAAGATATGCGGATTTTCACCCGAACTTCGACTGAAATCTTCGGGTGAAAACGAAAACGAACTGGGTGAATTTCACCCAAAAAATTCACCCAAATTTGAGGTGAAGCCGATATCCGTCACCATAGGATTGGGTGAAAATCCCATGCGTATTCGGGTGAAAAATCAAGGGGAAATTCACCCAAGGCGTACCCCCCAGTGGGCCTGACTGATCTGGTTCGTATAATATCTGGGGTAACTCTCGTCTGGACAACTAAGAAAGCAATCAGCAGCGAAGTGCTACTACATATAACCGAATGTTATAAATGAGGACATTTCAAAGCAGATGGAGAGTCTTACCTTCCAAAGGACTTTGTCGTTGAGCGTAAGTTATGTAGTTGACTGCGACCTCGTGGTCGAATTCTATTGGATCAAACTTGAATCAAAGCGGAGATTGAATTGGTGTAGTGTGCGCCGGCGGTTGGCCGATGTGGCGCCGATACAAGCAGTACTCTAGAATTGACTACAACCATGCAGGTAAATGGAAGATGTTATTTTACATGAACAGTGGGCGTCACTGATTGGTTTCCCAAGTATCCACTGGTAGCCATGTTGATATCACCGAGATATTTAAAGTACGGAAGTCGATAGAGTGACTAATACTTAATGTGCTCAGTCGAGTGTAGGTTCAATGGCAGGCTGAGCTCTCGTGACACTCTCCTTGGAAGGAGCAAAATGGCCGACCAAACGTGAATATTGCTCGATATAATTGCGGCCATTTGTGTACAATCAATAGATGCGTATAAACTATAGCGAATCTCCAATAAGGGGTCGACCTTCCAGCGGTGTTGGAAGATCATGAATCGGTAGCTGCGCAATATTCGATCTTTTTATTCATCCATGTGCCTATTATGGACCTTGCGAGTCAAACACCGTCATGAGTTTCATGCCATGACTATTGAGATGCTGGTCGTGACCTACTAGCGATCAACAGTCTACGGTGGAACTCTGAGGGTGCCAGATACCTGGTTTACGGGGCCATCGCACTGATTATCCCATCGCGTTGAATTCAACGTTGCTCCCGGATGGCTAATTGGTGCAAATTCTGGCATGGAGAAAATATGGGTGTCAGAGTTTTGGGCGGTCCGGTCGTGGTCGTAGGACGTCTGTAGGTTCAGTATGAGGCGGTTGACAAGGATGATTGGGATGCTGTGGGGTAGAATAGGTTAGATGATCACCAAGCGCGTACCGAAATAAGTATCGGCTTTCGAAGATTGTGTGAGCGTGAGACTTACACGGTTTCGAAGGGGACCCCGAGATTCAAGATTGCAAGATATTTTGACTGCACGTCAGGGGTCAGAATAACATGCCTAGATGGAAGAGCGAGTGGATATATATCACTTCAGGGTTGATAGATCCTATCTGAGTTTCATAAATAGACTATCAGCGTGATTTCCACAATCGTGATGTGTTTGACCTACAATGTTGTCGATTATTGCAACAGCTGTTACGGCGAGTGCACCACTGCGTTGCTCCCGTCAGTGCTCTGAGGTACTCAGGTACTCAAGGGCAGTGAGATACTGACCATGCTGTACCGATGCCTAATTGCATTCAATAATTGAGTTTACTTGTCACGAAAATCGAAAGGATATATCAAGTACGCACCATCATACATAAAAGCCTCTACGATGCTGCTCCGACCGAAACTCCGCGTCTCTACGACGTGACGCAAAGTTGTCCTCAAGAGAAGGCCAAGCATGGCAATGATGAAAACCAGTTGTATACAACCAGACGTTACCGCAACTGTATTATCGGCGCCATCAGCTGAATAGTTGGGTAGGAGTCATGATGGAACGAGCTATAGGAATTAGCATGCCTCTATCAGCAGTGGCCATGCGTTATTAGTAGCCTCATTCTGAATAGGATTATTCCTCAAAGACTCACTTGGAGGAAAGTGAAACTTTATCTTCGTTGGGTGTGATCATACATTTGACCATGACTTGATAGATTGTTCCCTTTGTAGAAACAGAGTCTACCAGGCTGTCTAGCTACGACAACAGCCATCAGTGCGAACCATCAAAGTCTGCCAAAGGAGAGACACACGTAAATGTTGATGACTTCGTAGGGTACTATCAACGCCGTAGCGACAACCAGAGCAACCTTTCTCTGGTTATGGATAGCGGCTACCCGTAAGGCTATGAGATCTATGAGTGAACATGTGAGAGGCTGTTGGATTGAATCGTAGTGCAGAGGGAGCCTGACACGTACATAGAGTTGCGGTAGTTGATAACTCCCCCAACACTGTACCCGTTATGTACGCTATAGAGCACCTACACGCGATTCTTGAGTGTTCTCTGATGAAGTTAAGTAATAACAGTGAGAACATACATAGTATCACTGAGAGATGCTCCGTAAGATCCCGCGAAAGCGTTGAATCCTAATTGCCCGGAAAGGCCGTATCGACTGACCAAGAAGAGCACAGAGTGTAAAGACATCTTCTTGGACCATATTGCATCATATTCGATGGGTAACATATATATGAAGTCGAGTATCCATAAAACTATTGGGCCAAGTCTTAGCGTGCTACCTAAGATCATCGTAGGAATTGAGTGGAAGCGCACCAGACGAGGATAAGGCTGCGTAGTCGTCTATGACCCTTCGATCGCACATAATACAGTCACGGGAATGTTGTGTCAGTGAATGAGCACAATACACGCACCACGCTTGCAGGGCGTACACCTGTGCTTCTGAGAACGATGAGTTCGACATAGGGGCAAGAGCGAAGTGGAATGTATGAATGAGCTCTGGAGTCTGGGTGCTTATGTATAAATCCTCCCTGTCACGATTTTGATGGGTACCTCTTGATGCAGAGTATCATCTACCCACCCAGTAGTGCACCTACAGTACCAGAGATTAAGATTAGGTGACACCTCAGGCAAACCGCGTGCTTTCTGTCATCGTTGACAGCCCGAGGATATCCTTCCTTCCTCAGAGTCAGCAATTCCGTTTTTTCCGTGACAGGTTGATGTAAAACTCGACGCTTTCAGCTATTAGGCACGCGCAGCCGTCATATGCTTGCTATAGAAGGTGATCTGGTTGACGAAGGAAGTGTGGGTATCGAAAGCTGGATCGCGCAGTTAATATTATTCTATGAGCATTAGTATGGGCACTGTACATGACCTACTCCAATCCACCTCTGTCACCAACACTTCGCCGCCTCCTCTCCACCGTCTCGCGATTATCCGTCGTCTCCACATCCTTCAGAATCCCCACCAAGATCCTCGCCCCCGTCTTGTCTCCTCTCACATACAACGCCTTGATAAACATCCTCAGCATAGGCCTGACGTGCTGGCCGAAGTGGATCTCTTCCCCGCTCTGCATGACAATCCTCAACAACTCCACCCAATCCATGACGCCCTGGCCCCGACTCTGATCCTCTGTCTTGCCCTTCCCGTCTCCCTCCGCGTTGATTGCACCAGCCTCTAATGGAGCACTCTCATCCGTCTGGCTCTGAGCAAGCCCTCCATCTCCATAAATACGTTCATCAACCCTCGACCGACTCGATCCAAACGGTGCATTCTCCTTCGAAAACCTCTCCCCAGCCGGATACCCACACCTGACCAATAAATCAAACAGCATCCTGACCTTCATCACGTCCCACTCCTTCACCCAGGCCAGCATCCCACTCAACACGATATTCATCGTTACTCGATCCGGGACGAAAGTAGCATCGGTCGCGTCTCTTCCAGGCCTCTTCCCGTGAACGTGAACGCTACCGCCGTCGGTGGCCTTCTTCTTCCTCCCTCGCATCAAGTCGTCCAAGGTCTCCAACGCGGCCCTGAGTCGATCCCTCGGACGTTCTCTCCTCCGCCTCGACAATCTCTCATAAATTAGCACGTTCCCAAGATACGTCCTCATTTTCGGCGTAATGCTAGAATCATCCGCCAAGATGTGCGACGACCCAAGTCGATGCGCGAGAGGTATAAGAACCCGACTTCGTTCAAAGTCTCGTGGTGAAGGTCGCCCAGCACGCGACGGAGACGTCCATCCTCGCAACTTGAAAGCGATCTTCATAGCTCGATTGCGCACGACAGCCAACGTCCGATCCCCGCTCTTCTTGCCAACGTATCCCGCAAGTCTCGAGGCCCCCCTACCCGACCTCACGAGCGAAATTAACAAAGCTTCCCTCAACGCCTTCTTGTGCTCTTCATTCGCCACGGCCGGCGAAGCATCCACATCATCCACCAACCTGACAGCGAGCCGAAACTGTCGGTTGCTGCATAGACATTTCATCAGAGCGTGGTCGAACGCGGTGGAGAAATAGCTAGGCTGTGCGGATCGGATGTTCTTGTACGTGTCGGACGCCGTGGCCGCATGTCCCGCATTCACGAGCGCGAGCAATGCGAACGAGAGCGGACGTCGAAGTCGCGATGGAGGTCGTAAGACGGCAGGAGTGGCGGAATAGAGGGATTTGAGCGCTCGAGCGAGGACCTGCGCCAGTCCAAAGTCGATGAACCGGTTCTGTTCCCTGTGTACCGCTTGTAACACAGTCTCCAAGACCCTGTGGCCTCTCCGTCCCTCGAATCGTAGAATGGACAGAAAAGGCAACGCGAGGTCCATCCTGCCCGCGTGGATTAACCCCGTTGCTATCGGCTCCGCGACGTCCTGCGTGACCTCTAGATGCGGCATCCAACGCTGATGAAGTTCATGCGCCCTTAGCGCGTCCACCCTCGCCAACCTTGGTATCGCAAGCCTCGAAAGCACATCCTGCCACCCCTCGCGCACCACAAAGCCCGGCAAACCCTCCTGCCACCTCAACTGTCCGCACGCCTCCGCCGCGGCCATAGCATTGGCAGCCAAGATCTGCACCTGTCTCTTCGCGAAATCGTCGCCAATGTCGAAGTTATAGAATCCAGAGTCCGCGAGCTCGAGGCATTGGAGCCGGAGGCGATTGTCTTTGGTGAATCTGGAAAGATGAAGGAAGGAGGAGATGAGAGGTCGGATTTTGGCGGGGTGGATGGTTCGGTCTTCTCCGATGGCTTTGTACCAGAGACGCCAGACACCACGGACAAAGAGTCGAATTTCGGCGTCGGCTTCACCGTATGACGAGCTGACAAGGCGTTCGAGGATGGCGAGGACGGCTAAGATGCGGAAGTCGGCGGAGACGATCGGTGAATGTGACGCTGAACTGAGCGCACTATCGGGCACTGTCACAGCGGAGGAATTGGCAGACGCGAGAAGAGTGAGGTTGTGCCAGCGGGTGGAGGACGAGAGGTTAGGATCGAACATGATCAGAGCTTGATGCCGGGCCCAGTTCCAGAGTATCTTTTGGGCAGCTGTGCCCGGTCCAGAAGGAGAGATAGAGCGAGGGAAGAAGACAGCCTGACGCACTTCCTGCACCAGGCTGGAGGCCCCACCATCGCTGGTGAATACGGACTCATCCCAGGAGTCGCCATCGGGGAGGTCATATCGTGCATCGCTACTAGGTAGATGTTTCGGGAGTTTGCGAGTGATTCGACGCCACACGGTCGACAAAAGAGCTTCCTTCGAAGCAGATGAAAGATCGAGCCCGGCATCGAGGAGAATGTCGTACAACACGTTGACAATGGACTGGCTGGGAGACGTATCCAGATAGAAGCAGATCCATGATACTACCTCCTTTGTCGAACTCGGTCGCTTGATAGCCAGCAACGCTCGCAAGTACGGCACATTGCTATGAGCATCCCATACAGACAGTTTGTCGTCGAGGAATCGCTCTCTGGCATGATAGACACTGCGCTCGGATGCTAAAAAAAATAAGGAAAATATAAGAAACAATACCAGGATAATCGGAAGGTTGTAAGGAAAATGACGGACTATCTTCGCAAGCATCCAGCTCAACGCCCTTCACTTTAGCCAGTCCTAGCCTCGCTCTCATCAACCAATAGCTATCCGTCTCGTTCCCCTTCCACCCGCCGCCATTCTCCGCCTTCACCAACTTATCCTTGACCAGCCTGAGGACGAAGCCCCATCGAGGCCTGAACGACGACTTGTCCATCCTACTCGCAAATCCATGCAAATGCCGTCTCATGCCGTCATCATGCCGTATCAGCCTATGTTCCGTTGTTGACCGACCCTCCTGTTCCGCTTGAGTAACTTTGGCAAATACTTGAGGGCCGTGATGGGCATAGAGCGAAAGCGTGCCGAAGAGAGAAATGAGAGCGGTCAAACGAGTGGGACCAAGGCGGCGCGGGTGATGAAGGGTTAGATAGAGGGTTGTGATGTATCTTGCGGTGAGAATAGTAGGGTTGGGAGATGATAGATTCTCATAGGAGAGGAAGGAGCGTAATGTGGCGAATGCGAAGGCAGAATAAGACCGATGATTCTGCCTACGGTCCTCAACAGCGACTAGCAATGACACAGGTACTTCGGAGTCTTCCGAGAGCGTAGGTGTGGGCTCGTCTACCTCCAAGCCGCTAGGACGCGAACTGACGGAGTTATCGGCGCGTGAGGTTGATATTTCTTCGTGCCCGCGTGATGAAGTAACAGGCTTCGGTGGCTTCACCTCGTATGTTAGTTCTCCTGCGTCACCTGAAGCATGAATGAAGTTTCCGATGTTATGCAGTCCAGTAGTCGAGTATAGTCTGCGTAAAACACTAAGATATTATGTGTGTGAGCTATGACGGGATAGGGCGCACCTGGGGGTAGATACAAGCAAGCCGATGCCGCCCAAGTTCCTCTGGACGGTCGACAGAGCCCATCGCAACATTCCATTGCATACAGAACGGTCGTGCGTCGCCTCCAAACCGTCCTTTCGAGCTCGTCGCCGTTGGCCTGCGTACGTGTGAGGTTGAACTGCTCAACGTCGACTTCCGCGCCAAAGTCGCGTCTCGCGCTCGGCGGTGGCCGACGTCGGAGTCTGAACCTAAACCTTGTTTTCACGAGCGACCGACGGTGTAGATTTCTGTCTACACGTCGTTCTCGACAACTCACGCTCAACGCACGTCTAGTCGCCTTGAAAAATCCATTGGCACCAGGTGCGTCCACGTCGTCCGATATGTTCTCGAAAATGTTGCTGACAATTGTTCTGTAGAGGTCAATAGGGAGGCACTAGTTCCATCTACACCTGTATCCATAACCTTTCCTACCGTGCGCACATAATATTTGTGCTGTTCCCGTTCCTTCAAAAGACTCATCCCCATCTTTTTTCGCAACGCAGACCTCACGAACTTACAACAATGGGTGCCTCTCGTGCCGAAAAGGAGCTCTACTTCGTTAAGCTCAAGGAGCTGATCGCGAAGTTCCGTGCGTCGCCACACTTCTTTTCGTTCCTTTTCTTCGACTAAACTTGATTGTCTATCCCTCTAGCCTCCATCTTCATTGTCAATGTCGACAACGTCGGATCGAACCAGATGCATCAGATCCGTGTTGCCCTCCGTGGCAAGGGTGTTGTCCTCATGGGCAAGAACACCATGGTTCGCCGTGCCCTCCGCGGGATCGTCTCCGAGTACCCCTCTCTCGAGCGTCTCCTCCCCCACGTCAAAGGCAACATCGGCTTCGTCTTCACCTCGAGTGACCTCGCCGACATCCGTGACATCATCACCGCCAACAAGGTCGCCGCTCCCGCTCGTGCCGGTGCCTTTGCTCCTCTCGATGTCACCATCCCCGCTGGTAACACCGGCATGGAGCCCGGAAAGACCTCTTTCTTCCAGGCCCTCGGTATCCCGACCAAGATCGCCCGTGGTACGATTGAAATCGTGTCCGACGTGAAGGTCGTCACTGCCGGTTCCCGTGTCGGTTCGTCCGAGGCGACACTCTTGAACATGTTGAACATCTCGCCGTTCACGTACGGTATGACCGTCGTCCAGATCTACGACCAGGGTCAGGTGTTCGAGCCCAGTGTTTTGGACGTCGATGCCCAGGAGTTGGTCGACAGGTTCTTGACTGGTATCAAGACTATTGCTGCCCTCTCGCTCGCGTTGAACTACCCCACCATCGTCTCGGTGTCGCACTCGCTCGTCAACGCGTACAAGAACCTCATCGCCATCTCGTTGGCCACCGACTACACCTTCGAGGGCTCCGAGAAGGTGGGTTTTTCTCTTCACCCTTTAGTCTTGTTTACAATATTTTTCGTCTTCACTTTCTTCCGACGATGTTTATTCATAACACACACTGAAAATACTGAACGTCCTTGGACGCTTGTGGATTTTTTACTTACTGAGGATACTTTTCACACTTCATTCTCTCTAACTTCCATGGATGCCACGTCTCCTTCTGTTACTGACAAGTCCATCTTCATTAGGCCAAGGAGTATCTTGCCAACCCTGAGGCGTTCGCTGCTGCCGCCCCTGTTGCCGCCGCCGCCGAGGCTGCCCCCGCTGCTGAGGAGGCCAAGGAGGAGGCCAAGGATGAGGAGGAGTCCGATGACGACCTGGTAAGTCTTGTATCTGTTTATGTGTCTGTGCTCGAAACTGAATATGACATTTGCAGGGCTTCGGTCTGTTCGACTAAGCGCCACACTGGGATACATGTAGCCATTTATGTGTACGGTCTCTTTTGGGAAATGACGATGATGCTCCAAAAACTCTTGCTAGCGGGCCGTTGAGATGTGTGAACCAGACCGTCGTGTGCTCCAGCGATGAAAACTGATGGCAGATGCTGAGCTCGAGATATTCTACTCGTCTGCCTTCAGGGCGGTTGGGCATTACTTATCTAATCCGGCCTTGAGGGAATTGACGCCGTAAGCACGCGTACGCTTTGAGTGGTTGATCATGATCTTTCTCACCGCCACGTATATCCAGATACATCTTTATTTTATCTGACGAAATACAATGCTTGATACGATCCCAGCTGGCCTTCTTCTGGATGGGGCCTACATACGCCACGTCCCATCACCCTATACACCTTCTCAAGCGCGACAGTATCTCCTTCGTATCGCATGGCCCACTCAGTTTGTAGGAGAATCGGACGACTCTCCCATCGAATTTGAATCGAATCTGGAGAACTTGACCGCGCTGATGGTACACCACTGTACGACGTTTCCTGCGGAGAATACGGATTTGCATTAGTGAGTTCATCTCATTCTGCGGACGAAAGGCTTTATCGTTCTCACGGTACATATTTGGGCATAGTACGAAGGAGCACCGTATGCCTGTCAAACCCGACGAACTGTTTGACCGCATGGTGCTTGGAGGAAGGGGAAGCTACTGCTTCGGTCAAAACGGACTATTTCTCGGTATGCTTCGCGGTCTCGGGTATAGGTAGATGACGTCCACCTATCTTTCTCTCTCACCGGTCCTCAAGTGACTCAATATTCAATCTGAACATTTGCTCAGGGCGTATGGCGTCTCAGGCCGTGTTCTCAGTCCTGCAAGCGCTCAATACTCACCCGACCCTAGCTCGCCCCTCGAAGGCAATATCTACACCTCCCTCGTACACATGACCCTTCTCGTCCAGCCTTACTCGGATCCTGCGCTCGCAAATATAACTTATGTTGCGGACATGGGTTTCGGTGGTCTTGGACCTATGCGACCGATCTTGTTCGCGGATGGGGGTGACGGTGACGAACAAGAGTTGCCTGCTACGGACATCGACGAGCCGGGATCGTCAAGGCCGCGGTGTAAGGGCGGGTGGGCCTGGGGTACGTTCCCGCCGGTGCGGCATAGAGTCATTCGGGGTGCACATTACTCAAGTAGTCTGGGTGAGCAGAGCTCTCGCCAGTGCGGCAATACTCTCTTGTACTGGTGCGGATGGTGTTCTGAGACTAGAATTTCTTTGTGCAGAGACGACATTAGGATCGGGCTTCGCGCCATCACGCGAATGGCATATGCAGGTCACCCGTAGCAGGCTTCCATCAGATCCAAGCCACGAAGAATGGACTACGCTCTATACGTTCTCCGAATCCGAGTTCTTTCAGCGTGATATCGATGCCGCTAATGTTGTCACCTCCACCTTCGAGGATATGCCGTTCCCACATTTCGTGATGTGCACCAAACGGTTCGAAATCTCGTTGGATGACATTCGGCAGGCAGGGGTTTATGATGGGGAAGATGAGGGTCGTGAGGTTATGAGGACCGCGGAGAATGTGGCTGAGGAGAAGGGGATAAGATGGGTGGGGCAATGGACGCTGGAGGGTAGCAAAGCGTTCCGGAGGATTGGAGGAAAGGCCCTTGAGGAGGTGCAGTTCGAAAGTGAGAAGGATAGGGTGGTGTTCTTGAGGGATCGCATTGGGATGGGGATTAATGAGGACGATGCGCAGTGGATCGCCGGGAGAGAAGCCGCTATATGACATGTCACGGACAATGCGTTCACTAAATGGATTGTGTCCTGCCGATCGATCGAGCACATATACCCAGGATAAAATCATATATAAATACAGAACAGTTCTCTGACGAGTCACCTCCACCTTTCGACACTCCATGGGCATGTTCTACGCAAGACGTGCACACGCCCCGTAGTCATAAGTACAAATATCACGTCCCTGTGTTCTTGTTCCACTCCTCTATCTCGGTTGCAGAACTGTGACCGTCTCCATTGCCGACTCCAGAAACTGAGTAGCTGGAAGAGAGTTGAGGAGCAGCAGCGAAAGAGACATGCGTCCCTATGCCTTGGATCTCGAGGTCTTTGCCAGAGGGAGAAATGGCCATGTTCGGATGGGTCGCTTCCTCGAGGGATTTTTGTAGGCTGACGAGGACAATAACGACCGTTGGATAGATGCCCTGATGATAGGCTAAAATCAGCACGATACATTTGATGGCAATGCGAAGGCAAGGTATTTACCGAAAGCTGGACAGCCGTCGCTCCAAATAGATCGCTGGCCCATGCTGTGGTATTAGGCAGTAAGATGAACCATGAGACAACCAACGCAATCTGCCACGACTCAGGTCAGCTCTCTGGACGTCGAAATTTTAGAATTATATGCAGACCTGGGTCAGACAGTACAAAAATCCGGACTCGACGAGAAGTGCCAGGATTCTCTGAACCCTTGACGAACTTTGAGATCGTCCGACGTACTCTCTGAGAGATTGTCGCATTTTCCTAGCATGGGACTCGTGAGTCCACGCCTCCATAATGAGTATTAAGAGAAACAACGTACCATGCTCTCCAAGATATGAGTAGTGTCGCAATCACATTCGTAGCCAGTGAGAGCGACCAGCTCGCAATCTGCGTATAGCTGAGGTCCCACTCCAGAGCATCAGTGTCCGCATAGAACGCCTTCACTTTCCATGCGCCCACCAGCAGGGTCAAGGCTATATCCAAAAGCTGTCAAAGGCCAAGGTTATAATTGTATCGACAGAGAGACTTACCAACACTTGACACCAAGAAGAATACAGGTAAGAAGAACCACCTCCATCGGTTTCCTCGGGGCCATAGTACCCATGCTCGCCACACAACAACGGAATCACCCAAGATATACTATATCACATACAGCTTTACATCGTACGAATGTATTAAATAGAAGACTGATGGGTGCGTACATTGACCATGGGCAGATAAACTTCTGCGAGGTACAATCTGGACACGTTTACGTTCGCCGCGGTGAGTCGATCGTCGATGGACAGCCCGTTATTGTTGATGAGAATATCGTGGAAGCCACGGACGAGAATGGTCAGGGAAATGGCCCAGTAGCTCACTGAGGCTGCGAACATGACCAGCGTGGTGATGAGCATCGCTAAGTTCGCCCTCGATTTCCAGTCCCTGCGCCTAGTGATTGACATGATTCAAGTTAAAAAGGTGCGACATCCCACGAGCTCTGGACATAATTGACTCACAAAATGATAAATGTCGAGAAGACAACCAGGACCGCGAATACACCTGAATATGCAGGATAGGCGTTCAGTTACGCCGACACGCTCGCTAAGATATGGATAGTGAGATCGAAAAAACAACATACCAAGAAAAAAAGTTTCAAGGGCGATTCCAATGGCACTGTATTCGAATATAAAGCCAGCTCCTGCCAGAGCATCGCTGGTGGAGGCGCTGCCGATTGGGCCGTATCCATATTGCGCGTGCACTGCGGTCAAAAGGTGTGGGGCGCATCCCAGCAAGAAGAGCAGTTTAGGGCGAAGCATGATGTGAATCACGATGGAAAGCAGGGCGCCGCATCCTCAGATTATATATGTACCAGATAGCCGTCAATGGGGGAGCTTCTGCTACTAGTGCCTCCGGGACCGCAATATATGCATGAAATGGATCGACCGTTGATCAAGGGGCACACTACCGTTGCCCGCTATTGGCACTAGCGCTGAGGAACCCGCCCCTACGTCTCTCCCTAGGGTTTCAAGATCGTTCGGAAGGGTCACTCTCCTCTGCGTTCATATCCTACTTCGTACTACTTCACAGCGGGGAGAAAAATAATATGTTCCAAATCTCCTCACTGCATACTCAGAGCTATCTTATCAAGGCTAATTGATGCAGCTGGGCATACTGTACTTTTTCGACCAAAGGTTCGTCACGCGTTCTCCGCGTTGATGAACCGAACAAAATACCGCGTGACCTCACGCATAACGCAGGGTGAGCGAACAGTGACCTCGGCAGGCGCTTGCGCAAAATAATCATTTTCGCAAGCGCCTACATTGTTTTCTGAACCATTTACGGGTCCCGTCACGCTCACGCACGGCTTCTGAACCGTGACCCGGGCGAAACTGATGGGTGACGTAAATTCTTGATGAACCTTTGGTCGAAAACGTACAGTAGTGGTGAGAGTGGAAGCAGTCAGGTCTGTGTGAAGATCATTCACCGGATGTGTGCACGCATGTGCTCTTGATACGAAAGGAGCCGGATGCCATAAAATTTCCGCGGTTTTACTCAGTTTCCACTGATGCGCCGCTTTGGCAGGACGCTTGTGATTTGGGCGGACTGAAAATGACGCTGGAGTACGTTTCATTTAGTATGTATGCGATTTGAGTACGTGCGTCACCGATGTGCTGTATAATATGTGGACATCCATGACGACTCACTGATACTCAGAGGTTGTGCCTCGATGATCATCTTGTTCGGGCCATCAGCCAGTCAGTGGTTAGATTTTACCACAAAGCATCGACCATAGACAAAACCCTATCAGAAAGTACTGTCATGGAATGATATCCCAGAAAACGATAGACCGTCATTTGACGATGGGGTTAACGCCACGCGTAGCTAAATATTCCTTCGCAGCACTTGCGCTCTGCCAAAAAACAAGACGAGAGGTTCGATTACAGCCATAAGAGAGATGAGGAGAGACGGGAAAATATGTGCGTACCAAGCCCTTGATCAAGTCATATACGCTTCTATCGTGGTATCGCAGACCTGTTGCTGGGTCGGTGTATGGTGCCTACATGTTGTGAAATCAGGAGAAGTTGAAATGGAGTCAAAATGGAGATAGAATACCTCAAGTCCAGTAATATCACAGTAGTGTTTCTGTGGTAATAGAGAAGGAGGAGCCTCGATGGAAAGATCTACCACATCAGCGCCACACGACTATCAGCGCCACATTAGGCCAGAAGAAGCGTGAAAGAAAATCCACAGGAAGGAAGGTCCTCCTCGAGCACATCAACTTGCTGTTGTGCGGTTTCTCCATCTACGTCCATCTTCTCCTCCTTCAATTGTCGTCGCCGTTCGCGTTCTTGTCGTTCTCGTTCCCGCTCCTGCGCGAGGACATTCTTCACGTTCTTGGCTCTTCTATTCACGTTTTTGTTGTATGCGGGATTCTTGAATGGCCGGGGAGCGTTTGTGTAGGACAGTTTCTCACTCAGAGTCTATTACTCGATGAAGATGGACAAGTGGGTTATACGGTCATTTCGACGTGGATGCGGGGATTGTGGCGAACATACCGGCGCTTGCGGGGTTGATGCCCCAGAGTCGGCATTGCTGGCTGCACCGACTTTCTTCCCCTTGGATCCTTTAGGTGGCCTGGAGATATTTCGTCAAATATACAGTACGGTCGAAAGATAGTCGTGACAGACATTATGAAGATCGGGAGGCAAGAGCTTGAGCGAAGCGTACGCCGGTTTGTGGGGTTGGAACCAATTGCAAGATGAACTCGGCAACTGCCTGATCGAAGTGACAGTGATGCATCCCACCCCTAACCCTGCTCTATGGTTCTGCGTTGGCTGCCTACGTGGCCAAAGTCTTCGAGCGCCACGCAATACTCACAGTGGCCCTTCGTCGTATTCAACTATTGAATCTGCAACTGTGCTCGCAGTCCCCTCACTCTCTTGGTTTTGCTTTGTGACACTTGTCTATGTCGCGATAGGACCATGGCTCTCTACTCATTCGTTCTTCTCGTATTATTATTCTTCGCCGCTATCGTGCACGCCGCAGACTTGTACAAGGTCCTTGACCGTACGTGGCGTCTCGCGTTCGGGTTATAGTTGGACTAACTCTGAGCTTTCTCACTCACTCTCAGTGCATAAGTCTGCTTCGGAACAGGATATCAAGAAGGCGTATAAGCGATTGAGTCGGAAATTCCATCCGGACAAGAACACGGACCCAGGAGCTGAGGATAGATTCGTTGAGGTGGCTTATGGTGCGTTTCCTCATCCCATGCTTTCACTCTTGGATACTGAACTGTGTAAAACTTTCATAGCCTATGAGGTATTGTCAGACTCAAAAGTATGTGTGTTGCCGTTGAGTTTACAGGCGCAGTAATTGATAGACCGTATAGAAACGAGATATCTACGACAAGTATGGGGAGGTCAGTGTTATTGCTCGTCATGCCGATACCCGTCAAAGGCTGATTATTGCCCGTATGGATTATAGGAAGGACTGAAGGCACACGAAGGTGGCCACCAACATCATGCCAACCCCTTCGATATCTTCTCTCAATTCTTCGGTGGAGGCCGTAAGTTCTTCCCAATCTACCTCACAGCTAGACTCGCCCTAATAGCGTTTTCTAGAACAAAGTCAACAAGTGCGACGGGGGCCAACGTCTGTCACTGAATTTGAGGTCTCTCTTGCTGATATCTACAAGGGTGCGAGCATTGACGTATGTTTTGTTTAGTTTTCTTCATTGCTTGTGCGCAGAACTTACACTGTGTCACACAGTTTATGATCAAAAAACGTGTCCTTTGCGACCATTGTCGTGGAACGGGCGCTGCATCAGATGGAGACATTCATCAGTGTTCAGCCTGCGGTGGCTCCGGCGTTCGCCTCGTCAAACAACAAATTTTCCCCGGCATGTTCGCCCAGTCTCAGGCCACATGTAACGAATGTGGTGGCAAAGGCCAAATCATCGCTAAACCCTGTCCACACTGCGGAGGCGCTAAAGTTGGAGAGCATACCGCAACCTATACTCTGGAAGTACCGAAGGGAGCACCAGAAGGACACGAGGTCGTGTTTGAGGGTGAAGGCGATGAGAGTCCGGATTGGGAGGCCGGAGATGTGGTGCTGAGAGTGAGGAGTAGGGGCGAGAAGGGCGGGTGGAGGAGGAAGGAGAGTAGTCTGTATTGGAAGGAGACGATTGGTGTGGACGAGGCGTTACTTGGGTTTGAAAGGAATTTGACCCATCTGGATGGGCATGTCGTGACTCTTCATAGAGAGGGCGTGACACAACCAGGTGCGTTTCATCATCCTTATCCATAATTTGTTCTTCACAGCTAATTTTACTTTCCATAGGCTACGTGCAAACGATCAAAGGCCAGGGCATGCCTCATTTCCAGTCTTCGTCGTACGGCGACTTGTTTGTGGAATACAACGTCGTTTTACCGATAGAACTCTCCTCCGATACCCGACGTCGTGAGTTATACTCATCTATTCACATTTCCTCAGAAATAACCGTTCATTTTTTGCAGATCTAGCGGAAGCGTTCTATGGCAAGGATGGCAGTAGAGAACGGGATGAGCTATAGATTATTCGGCGATGTGTATTTCTGGGCATAATCTTATTTTATTGGCCTCGCCTTAATATTCTCCTGCTCGAATGACGGGTATACTGCGCGTGATGCATCGTCCGCATCTAGGGCTCTAAATTCGCTTCACCTGTACACACTGCTCGAGAGACAGAGATCTCGGAGACAGACACAACTGTCGCTACAAAGCCACATTCGGTTTTGGGCCAACTTTTCCCGAAATTGTCCAGAAGCGGTGATTCTCCGTCCGAGAATGCGAGAAAAACGGCTGCACCTCCGGACAGAAGGTTAAAAACAGGTGTCCGGAAACTGCCGGCACGAAGATGTTCAAACCACCGCCAGCAGCAGGAGCTCGTCCGTTCCTAGCAGCTTGTACAAGTCGGCCTCGACGGCTACACCGACCACTACGACTATCAAGCTGTGGTTTCTCCGTTTCTGCTACTTCTGAACCGAATACCAGTATCTATTCATCGAAAGTCAGAGGTGGGTCGTACAGAACACGCATTAAAAGGCGCCCGTACGGCCCAGATCTCCGTGTCAACCACTTGTGTGGCGACTGAGAACCGCGTTTCTTTCTATGGCTCGCACTCATGGCAATCAGGCTAACCCGTCTTGTTTCTCCGCAAAGCTTTGCTCTTCAAATACACTGGCTGGGATGCTATTCGACGAATGGGTCCTTACGCGGCCATGGCTGCCGCCACCAGCCCTGTCGACTTGGCTCGTGCTGTAGCCGCAAAATTCGGGCTTCCTTACGGAAAGATGTATGAGCCTCTTAGAATGCAGGCTGTATATTATCCTGCATGGATTCTTGATGCCCAGCTACATGTCAGCATTCAGATACTTTGTCATACTCAACATCGGCTAACATTTGTTCATCGGTGGTCAGGCAACTCTCGAAGAAACCCACTTGCCCGCTGAAGAGCGATCAGACCCACAGTGGAAGTTTCAATTTCTCCATTCGTAGGTCCTTTCTTGTTTCTTTCTAGCTATCATCTGAATTCAAGGTCACGCGACTTCAGGTATATGCCGGGTTCGTTCTTTGTCTTTGCAGTCTTCACTGGGTTCAAGAACCCTGAAACCCATATGACCCCCAGGCCATACCCTCGATCCTCTTTCCACCATTTCCTTCAACTTCGGGTCATCATCTGAGACTCCGTGGAGCGAGCCACCAGCACTCGAAAAATGGGAAGACAGCCTCAAACGTCAACATGACGTTGACATCACTACTCTACCCTTCACCGTGAATCCCCTGGACGGCATTACTGCCGAGTTGAAGCATCGTATCGAGACATCCCTCGAGGTTGATGGAAATAAGTCCATTGGGTGGGTTAGGCATCCCGTTGTTGAATATGTAAGTTGTGTTGTGTGCAATGAGGATAAACAGTTGTCAACCTGGGAGTACTGACTATGGTTGCTCTGGGACGAAAGATTGCAGCACATCCCGTCTTGATCCCGCTTTATCTCGTTGAGTATGGATCGAACCGCCCTGAAGAAACATTCACGCTCGTATACGAGGCGCATACCGTACGCAGTCCTTGACACCCTCACTGACCAAAAATCGCCGTTGATGTCCATGGATCATATAGGGACAATACTACACCACTGATCAGCTCCCCAAGGATTTAGAAGGCCTCCGCCAGTGGCGAAAGACGGGCGACGCGCCGTACAAGCCTCCTCAGCCCGTGAACCTGCCACCATTAGAATCGTTCGATCCTTGGGTCGGAACGTTAGGCGATGTAAGTCAATTCCCTCTCACTTCCAAAATCCAGCTAATAAATACGCACGACCGTTGATACCGTCATTTTCTTATTTTCAGACGCCCATTCCTGTTCTCGAGGGGTTCAGATCGTTCCTCAAGCAGATACTACACGAACAAGTGCATGGGCCACTTCACTCAGCGAAAATATTGAAATCGTGTGCGGAGATTCCTGTGAACATGGATGATCCTCGGGTCAGGCCATACGAGCAACAGGGAGATGAAGAGGTCGAGCGTTGGATGAACGCATACGTGATGGCAACGATTCTGAAGCGTGCAATTAAGGTACGCCCCAATCCTCGCATATATGATTGACCCACAGCGCTGTGTCGGATGGTATACTTATTGAATGATTGCTCCTGGACGTTCAAAGATTCAAGAACACAACAGCCTAGACTTTCGACCACCTGTACCGCCTGTTAACAGGAAGCATACGGTTGACTTTGCGTTCGTATCCTTGAACGCGGAGAAGAATCAGAATAAGTTAGCGGAATTGATGGAGAAGGTGGAGAAGGGGAAGCCAAAATGGTACGAGGAATGGTCGGAAGCGATGGAGCAGCAGAAGAAGGATGGAGAGAGCTCGAAAGAGGGTGGGAAGACGACTTGAAGTTGGTAGGAGTGGAATGTTAGATCGGCAGTCGTTCGCGGCTTTCATAGACTTCAGTGCAGCCATGTCAAGCTGAAGGATTCTTGATCGTTTGCCAACCAAGCACATCTAAATTTTTACTGTCTTTCACCGTCGTCGATATTTGTGGGACGTCCGTGCTTCTGTTTATATCCAACAACGTCCGATCTGAATCAAACAAACCACGACTAAGTAATCCGTCGTCTTCTCATTGGGATAATTCGCAAGGACTACATCGTGTCCGCCATCTACCATGCAACTACCTGCGAAACAGTGTGGCGTAAGTCATTGTATGAAAATATATGGAGCTGCACGTGGGGGATGTCGAGATTTTGGATCTTTGATCAGATCTCACGCGACCCGTAAAAGCGAGGCAATCCAAAAAGGTCCAAAAGAGTCACCGCGAGGTGCCACCTTGAGTTCTTTGACCCTTGTCACCCCTTGTTCTCCTTTCTCTTTAGCTTTGACCTCTACCTGGCTTCCTATAAAATATCCCACTTGCTAGCGGGACTTTCGCAATCTTACTTCATTTGCTAGTACTTCCAAGGCGGCTATATTTTCAACTTCCACAAACATGGACCAAGAAATAAACCAAGTCATCCAAGCTATCCTCATCGCCGCAGATCCTTCACAAGGGACACTTCACCAACAAGCCCTTCAATTTCTCTCCGACGTCCAACAAAATGCAAACAACACGTGGAGGCTTGCTCTCTCTATATTCGTGGAAAGTGCGCCGGAGGGTGGCAGGAAATATCCGCCACAAGCAAGGTTCTTTGCATTGAGAGTATTGGATGACTTCCTCGACAACCGGTGAGCAGTTTTAATCTATATCGTCTGCTATGGCTCTCTGGGAAACTATGTAGGCATGGGTTGTATGCTATGCAGAACAGTATACCGGGTGCGAGTGTAGGGAGCCACGCTAATTAACATCCATTAGAATCGAACCTCTCGACGAGGACTCATTTCGAACACTACAACAGTCACTATTATCCTTCATCCAGTCGGAATACGTGTTCGGAAACGCAGAAGCGAGCGCGACGTGTGCGTGTTTTCATGTGTTAGGACTCTGTTCATGTTCCATAAACTAACCAAACCGCTCAGTCCTTCGGAACAAGTTCTCTCATACTCTCACGCTTTTCTTCCTCGCGACATACACGGAACAATGGCCTACCTTTTTTGTGGACCTCTTCGCGTTGATCCGCCCCTCAGAACCCTCCTCGTCACAAACGTCTTTCAACCACCATGTCTCCCTCCTCTTCTTCCACATCGTCCTCGAAATTTCTGGTGAAGTCGCCGATCAAATCATCAAGTCTGCGCGAGCGTTTACTACAGAAAGGCATGTAAGGGATGCTCGTGTGCGTGATGCTATGCGGGACCGGGATGCGGCGGGAATCAACGAGGCCGTCCTCACCATTGTGGCGGAGAGCACAGACAGGATGTCGAAGCTGCAGAAGGGAGAAGTAGCGCCAACTTCAGAACGAGAAGAAAGTGAGGTGGTCGAGGTCGTGGACTGTGGTGTTAGGACGTTCGCTTCCTACGTGGGTACGGGTCATATTGCTGCATTGTTGATGTCGAACTCAAGTTGACAATTTTCGATTTTGGCGTTGGCAGGATGGATCGATATCAATCTCACAGTCACTCCAACAACCGTACCGCTGCTTTTCTCATTGCTGTCCGATCGTTCGCTAGCCATCCGATTAGCCACATCCACCGCATTGCTTCGCATCGTCTCGAAGGGTCTCAAGGAGCCCGCAGATAAACTTCAACTGATCAAGGTTCTCTCGCTGACCCAAGTCCTCGACGCGTTGGAAAAGAAGACGCGAGCAGAGCAGGAGAGCCGGAAAGCAGATGGCGCCGATGAAGGTGAAGAGTCTTACCGAGAAGCCTTGGGCCGGCTGCTGAACGCTCTCGGACTGGAGCTCATCAAGCTCGTGGATGTGAGTTCTTTCATCCCTTCATACCAGATCGAATCATTGATTCCCGTGTAGGAATGCCCAGACGAAATGGTGCGCCTAGAAGCCGGTCGAATCCTTCAGGATACACTTTTCGTCATGATTCGGTTCATGTCGGACGAGTACGACGACACCTGTTCGACTATCTTCCCTATGCTCCAGATGATCCTCGCCAGCGTAGGTTTATTTTTCGCCCACCATCGCGAGCATGGAATCTGATTTGCGCCACATAGTACAAGAAAAGCCGAAAAATATCTACGGACACAATCGACAATGAGAAGCGAGCGTTCCTCGCCTCACTTCTCGAGACTATCATGGCGAAAATGATTTGGGATGAGGACACCGACTTTGATGATTTGGACGAGGATGATCGGGAGGCCTTTGAAGGATTGCGCAAGGTGAGTTTCTCGGTCATGCTGCACCTTGGCGCTCTCAGGACATTGAAGCCTCTAGTATCGCAGGACCTTCGATCTTTCATGGAATCGATCTATTTAATCGACTCAGACCTGGTCACAGAGGCAATCCGCTTGCGAGCAATGACCGCCCTTACGGCTTATACCAATGGTGTACCCGTCAAGTGGTTCGATGCCGAAATCGCAGTTTACCTGACGTTCCTCTTTGGCGAGATCAACAAAGGTGCGTCGAGTTGTTGCTGTCCCGATGTGAAGGATCATAAATTTCAATATCTTTTGTAGCCGGTGGAAAAGGTCGTGCTGCATTCTGTCAAACTCCTGCCATAGCAAGGGAAGACCGAAAAAAGATCGACTACTCCAGCTACCCTCTCACGTCTCACGGAGAACTACTACTTGCCTTGATCCAGTCCGGCATCTCTGCGTACCCGCATCGAATGGTCGTCATGCAATTCTTTGAAACGGTCGTGCGCTACGCCGACTTCTTCAAGGTTCGTAAAGATTGTGTTGTTCCTACCCTCGAGTCTATGGTCGATGCAAGGTTTGCTTCTTTTCCCTTCATATATAGTGGTTCACTCAATGCCTCATCGACTCACGTATCTCCTGTCTGATATAGAGGTCTGCACAGCTCAGATCAGAGCGTACAAACACGAGTCTTCTACCTCTTCCATCGATTCATCAAGGAGAATAGAGGCGACATCTCTGCAGAGCTTTCTGGAACTTTGCTAGGTGGAATTCGAGACTTGCTCGATATCCAGGTCGAAATCCCAGAACTGGAGAACCCAGAAACCGATGATGTTCTTTCTGAAGCGACCAAACATACCGGGATCTTCGACGCCCAGCTCTACCTCTTTGAGACCGTCGGCATCCTCCTCTCGGCATTCATGAAATCTCCAGAAGGGGCCTCTTCACTACTGCAGTCCATCGCCACCCCGCTATTAGACGATCTGTCGGTGAACCTGCAGGCCATCAAGGGCCCGCAGGATGTGGTACCTGTGCTCAAGGTTCACCATACCATCATGGCGTTGGGAAACATAGCCAAGGGTTTCCCAGATTATCCGACCAATCCTACGGAAGAGAATACGCCGCCGTTGGACGTATTTAGGACTGTGGCGCAGGCGATTCTGGTATCTTTGGAGGCTATGAACGTGTTCAAGGTCGTTCGGGATGCAGTGAGTCATTTTTGCCACGACTCATGATGGTATATGCGATATTGACACTATGTTCAATCAGACAAGATTCGCCTTCGCACGGATCCTAGCGACGACAGGGCCAACCGTCACGCAGCTCATTCCGACATTGATGGCGAACCTACTTGCTCACTTCGAACCCAGTGAACTCGTCGACTTCATCAACTTCATTGGCCTTCTAATCCACAAATTACAGGTTCGTCCGAAAGGATCAATTACCTCAGTGTTTATATATGCTGAAACATCTGCTCCTTGTAATATTAGGAAGAATTGTTCGACGTTATGGATCAGCTGCTTGGACCCCTGTCCCAACACATTACCGGTATTATGAGCCAAGAGGCATCCGGAACAGACGACAAACTCGCTCAGGCGGAGATCAAACGAGCGTACCTCACCTTGATCAACAACCTCCTCTCGTCCAAATTGCCAGGAATTTTTATTTCCGATCGTCAGTCTTCCGATCCTCCATCCATTATCCCTGTTGCTAACACTCTTCTGCCTCCTTCTAGGCAACATGGCTGGCTTTGAGTCACTGCTCAACACGATGATTCAACTGGCCAACGATTTCAACGACGCTCACAGCCAGAAGGCCGCTTTCACGTTCATGAGTCGCAGCGTCACCGTCTGGGGAACGCCCGATGCCTCGAATGGGACCTCCAACGGCAACATTCCGGCTACGATCACCCGCCAGATTCCTGGCTTTGGCGAGTATATCTACAAGACCTTCGTCCCTACGGCTTTCACCATCCTCTCCTCGCCATCGTTGAACATCAAGGACCCGCAGATCTTGATGGTATGCCCTTCACTGTCGTTTCCACGTATCCACCATGTCTGAAATGCAAAATTTGTACTTCAGGTCCTTCACGAAATTGCCAACTTTTTGCAGACGGTTATCATCACACGAGGACCGGAAGGTTATGAGTTCTTCGTCAACCATTTTCTCCCGACACAAAGTTTCCCGCCGGATGTCGCCATTGAGTTCACCACGAAGATGCGCGACCTGGATAACAAAAGCTTCAGAAAATACCTCGTAGAATTTGTCCGGGCGTCTCGTTCGTCATAGCATCTCAGAATTGTAAAGACCATTTGGGCAGGTGCCAGCTCGAAAATGCTACCTTCTAGATATATTAATGTATTTCTGACACGATTGCTCTCAAACGCTTGCTCGTTCACTACCTTACGGTCCTTAGTCATTCTTCATCTTCACCAACATTCAGCGTTATGCTTTGTATTCCGTTCTATATCGTGTTTCTCGCTACATACGTAATGTCTTTCCTCCTCTGCAATCGCATATCATCACGTATATCCCCTCACTCACGTCACTCTTCTCTGCTCTTGTCTACGAGTTGTCATCAGCTAGTTGTGTTACTATTCGCTCGTTGTTTTCCTATATATATCCAGAGATCTTGACGGGGTTTCTGCCCAGTTCGAGTTTCCATCTGAAGTTGAGTGCCGTACCGAAACCTGGGTCCCGATTCAACCTGTGGCCCGGATCCTGATTGTACCCACTAATCAGGGTTTTCATGGAGTATCCCTATATAATTCGCGGATATTCAGCCACTTTCAGTCAATATTCAATACCGCATGATATGTTTATGGCGGCCTACTCCATTGCTTGCAAACAAAGACAAATCAAGAGTTGTGTCAGTATGATGACTAAGCAAGAGCTTTTGATCCTAACAGGGACAAATAGTCCGATTATGGACGTGACGCATCTCCTATTCGTCCAGCTTTCTGCTCCCGCCACAAATGGCATCCAGTACGTTCGTTATGTTTGCGATAGGCGAGCTTACCGCAATCTAATAAAATGCATACAGCTTCAAAACGTACCAAACCCAGAATCGTGAGTTCACAGTATTTGGTGCTCTCTTGACGCGTTCTTGACATCGTTACCGCCACTTCCAGAAACCACGCAAGGTCTGTTGCAATTCCTAGTGTTTGTCATCCTAAGGAGCTCATAATATACAATAGCTTGCCTCGGCAGCGCCTATCGATGAGACATGGGCTAAATTAACTGTCAATATCCGCGAGATCCAGCACCATCGAGCCTTCACGCTTTCCTTTGAGGAGAACTACCGCCTTGCGTACCAAATGGTCGTCAACAAACAAGGGGAAATGCTCTATAATGGTGTCCTATCTCTCATCACAGAGAATCTTGGTTCACTGGCAGAGCAATTCATCTATCCCGCGTATCCGACTGCTGTGGATGGCGATCCTGTTACGGAGAGTCAAGAGAACGAGAGGTTATTGAAGGCGTTGACAAAGGTGTGGGAGGACCATACAAGTAGCACGCAGAAGCTCAGCCATATCTTGAAGTACATGGTGCGCCCGTCATGAATCTTACCCCTTTGTTATCTGACTGGCTGCATACGCCACAGGATCGAGTGCACACAAAGGCTGCCAACGTACCGGAAGTCATCCCTGCGGGGCAAAATCTCTTCTTGAAACACATAATACGACCACCAATAAAGGATCACATCATCTCTGCCATCTTGGGCCTTCTTCGCATCGAGCGTGACGGGTATGTCATCAACCGTTCCGCTGCGACGGGCTGTGTCGACGTCCTACTGCAGCTGAGCAACAAGAACGACACATTGTCCGTGTACAAGGAAGACTTGGAACCCGTTATATTGAAGGAGACAGAGGGTTATTACAGGGCCGAAGGTGACCGGTTGTTGGAGACGTGTGATGCGTCAGAATGCTTGCGACGAGTGCGTGTTCTGCCTTGTTCATCCCATTCGCAGAAAGTGTGCTTAGAGCTGTGCAGATAGACTCTCGATTCTCCGAGGAGCAGTCGAGAGCACATCAATATCTATCTGTAACCACAGCCGAACCTATTCGCCATATTCTTCAAGATACATTACTCACGCCACATCTACACCACATCATCGGCATGTCAGGGTCTGGCTTGGACGTCATGATTGACAACGAGAAGACGGACGATCTTTCACGGCTATATCGACTCTTTGTCACCGTTCCTGAGGGTCTTCCCTGTCTTCGGCGAGCCATCAAAGAATCGGTCATTCGCCGAGGGAAGGAGTTCAACAACGACACTCCGATGGATCAAATGGATGATGTAGACGGCGGAGAGGAGCAAGCTGCACCCGCAGGCAAGGGAAAAGGGAAGGCACGAGCTACCACTGGTGCCCAGAGTCTTGCGCTTGCTTTGAAGTGGGTAGAAGACGTCCTGCGACTGAAGGATAAATTTGATGCGGTCTGGAAGGACTGCTTCAAGGTCGACCGTGAGATTGAGAGTGGCCTAAACGAGGTACGGGTCGTCCATAGTATGCATGATGTATTGATACTGACTCTTGTCCCAGTCCTTCGAGTCGTTCATCAATCTGCAACCACGAGCACCCGAATTCGTCTCGCTCTTCATCGACGAGAACCTCAAGAAGGGACTCAAAGGGGTCAGCTCGACTAGACCCTCCGTCACTATATTTATGCTCACTGGTCCTTCCTGTAGAAAACAGATATCGAGGTGGAAAGCATCCTCGATAAGACGATCACCGTTTTCCGGTACATCACGGAGAAAGACGTCTTCGAGCGATACTACAAGGGTCACCTCGCCAAACGTCTCCTTCTCGGTCGTTCAGTATCCGATGACGCGGAACGTGGCATGCTCGCGAAACTGAAGGTCGAGTGTGGGTTCCAGTTCACTCAAAAGCTGGAGGGCATGTTCCACGATATGAAGATCTCGGCCGACACGATGCAAGCATACCGTAATCACCTAGCCAAGTCTGCCTCGGTGAGTCTGGTCGTATTCTCGCTGCCATAGATTATTGATATTTACGGATAAATTATATACTCCAGCCTCCGGACGTCGACATTTCCGTGACAGTCATGACATCGACTTTCTGGCCCATGGCGTATGCGAGTGTTCCATGTGTTCTACCGTCCGAGCTAGTTAGCACAAGCAGAGCATTCGAACAGTACTACCTCTCGCGACATTCAGGTCGGCGGTTGACATGGCAGCCTTCGATGGGGAACGCGGATGTCAAAGTTACGTTCAAGTCAAAGAGGCACGACTTGAACGTATCCACGTTCGCTCTCGTCATCTTGTTGCTTTTCCAAAATTTGGGAGAGGGAGAGTTCCTAACATACCAGGTAAGACAATTCTTGACTGTCCCATGTCTGGAACTAACGGGATCTCGGATGATTATAGGAGATTAAAGACTCGACACTCATTCCTGATACAGAGCTCCAGCGAAACCTCCAATCACTCGCATGCGCTAAATTCAAGATCCTCAAAAAGCATCCACCAGGACGAGACGTCAATCCCGAAGACTCGTTCTCCTTCAATAATGACTTCACATCGCCGTTGCAGAAGATCAAAATCAGCACTGTGGCATCAAAGGTCGAGAGCGGCGAAGAGCGGAAAGAGACACAGGATAGAGTGGAGGAGGAACGGAGGCATCAGACTGAGGTTCATCTTTTCACTCTCTGTTTTCACTTTGCCCTTTGAGAACTGTACTGACCCAATAATTTTTTCTGTTGTAGGCATGCATCGTGCGGATCATGAAGGACCGAAAACATATGACGCATAACGACCTAGTGAACGAAGTTACGAGACAGCTCGCCATGCGATTCCAACCCAACCCTCTGAACATCAAGAAACGCATCGAGGGTCTTATCGAGGTCCGTCTGCCCCGTCTTAATCTGTTTTCTACTTTGATCCTGACTCGTTGGGAAACAGAGAGAATACCTGGAGCGATGTGCAGATCGCAAGTCTTACAACTACATGGTGGGCAGTCCTTTCTCACCCCCACCTTGACCGTTTAACTCAACCATGAACTACTTTTCTTGAATTGCAGGCATGAGCTCGAGCATTTATCTGTCACCCTCTGGTCCGAGTTGTTGTACTTTATTGCCTATCACTCCTTCCGTCCACGCACCCGGTTTCTTTTTTCTTGTAGCACAATTCGTCACGGACATGGAATGTTTGACATTTTCTGCGGTCTCCAAACAGCAGACAGACACGGATGCTTTCGAGATACTGTATTTACCCAGTAACAGACGGTCTCGCCTTAAGGCTGTTATCGGTTGCGAATGAGCATCCTCAGCCTGAGCTCGCTGCCAAGACGGCCTAAGTCAAGATCGGAGTGTGTAGACGAGTATGCAATGCAAGCTATTATTTGACGGAGAAAAGGTATACAGAAAACGGGCGTGGGTTGTCAATGTAAGTACGTACGTATGTATGTAAGTAATGCAAGAATCGGGCTGTATATAACTTTAAGTATCTTCAGGTCGTGTCCGTGCAAGAAAAGTCGAAAGCGAGAGCGGGGGCGAGGGGGAACATGAGAAAGATAGGTTGTTGGGACTAGGGATAATTGATAGCAAGCGGGTGTGGTGACTCGGATTGAGCAGGGGAGAGCGAGGGAGCGAATGAGGATGTGTGTGGGGATAGTAGGATGCTGAACGGGTCTGTCTGAGCGAGTGAAAGAGATGTCAAGAACACAAAGTTCGAAAGAGAAGGAGAAACACAAGAAAGGCGCAGAGAACGCAAAGGACGATAACAAAAAAGTGGGGATATAATCGACATGCTGGGAGTCAGAACTAGTCAGAATACGAATCGAAAGATTGCAGTGGCTAAGAACAAGACAAAAACTGGCGAAACGAAGAAGACGAAGACGAAAGACGACAAATACTGGGTAAACGGCAGAGGCGGAGACACAGTCCTAGGCCAAACACAGAACAAAACACAGTAGAAAACGGGACAACAAAGTCAGCAGCCTGTAAAGCGTACAACCATGTCCGAGCGAAAACGAAATAAGAAAAGCACAAGAGATCAAGCGAAAAGAGCGATCTGAGGCAAAATCGTAAGTACGCTCCAATGAAGAACTGTCTGTGGGTCGACCTCCTGAAACAACGGAGGCACAAGAAGAAAGCAATAAATCACTCAACCTCCTATAGAAGCAAACCCACTCCACCCATCAAACACCCACCAACAGCCACTGCAACCGCTACCCCAGCACCACCGCCCCCTCTCCCCCTCGCCGAATTCGTACTCGCCCACCCATACGGCACACCCAACTGCACGCTCCTCGTCGGCGCCACACTCGTCGTCGTCACCACCTGTCCCCCACTCTCCGTCACCACCACCGTCTGCTGCGTCGGACTCGGACTCTCCACGGGCAACGCCGTAACATTCCCCACGCTCTCCGCCGTCGCGCCCGGCACGGACGTGAACACGGCTGAATACGTCGATGTGGCGAGCGTGGCGGAGAGCGCGGTGGTCGCGATGGATGTGTTGAAGGTGTAGGTCGGGGTGGTGAGTGTGGGGGTTGAGAGGAGGGAGTTGGGGAGGTCGAAGGTTTGGGTTAGGGAGAGGGAGGCGAAGAGGGCGGAGAGTTGGGAGAGGGGGAGGGCGGAGGGGACTGATGCTGCTTCGGTGGTCGAAGAGGAGGAGGAAGAGGTGGAGGAAGAGGAAGCGAAGGCGTCGTTGAGGGGGTAGAGACCGATCATGGGTGGCTCTTTGCCTGTGATTCCGTAGCTGAAGACGGAATAGACGGTGCGCATGAAGGGAGAGCCGAGTTGCCAGTCGATGCCGTCGGAGGACGGGGAGAGGGCGTTGGGGTAGGCGATACATTCGTTCGTGTCCGAGGAGATGGGGCCGGCGAGGTAGTCTGATGGTAGGAGGGTGAAGTTTTGACCGCTAAAAACGGAGATGTAACCGAGATCGTGAGGTTACAGTGTGGACAGGAGGAATGATGAGGTGAGGGTTTTACTTACCTGAATGTGAAAGTCATAGTAGCGGTGGTATCGCAAGGCATAGCCCAGATACCGCCTGCATCAGGAAAACCATCTCATCAGCCACAATTTGTGCCACATTCCAGGAAAATCGACGTACCCTCAACGTCAACTAACCGACTCCCGGTCATGGAATCAAATATACGAGCGACCTAACACGGCATAACCTCAGTATCAATTTCCCAACAGATATAGAATTCAAGAACATACATCTTGCCATGGCCCAAAGATACCCGTTGTGCCACTGACGACAAAATCAGCTCAAATATCTGGGCCACACACAAAGATAGGCACTCACACATCGAACAGCGCTATCGACGTATTCGAGTTTGCTTCTGAGTATGTTGGACGTGGTGTTACCGTAGTGGAGCCGACCTATGTCACAAATGGTAAAAGGTCAACTTCGGAACACGACGGTGAGATACGGGCGCCGATGTGAAAACGAGCCAGGACAGGGAATCGAGCTACCCACTGAGGCGTGGGGCCACGCTCCCTTCTAGTTGGGCAACTCGCTTCCCCTAAGTTATCCAAGCTCGCTCCCCCTATCCCGTAGAACTCAACTCAACTCACCAAAATATCACCCATCCCGACAGCCCACTGCAAATAACTGCTCGCATTGCCCGCCAGCGCCTCGGCACTACCGCTGAACGGCCGGAAGGGCACGACTTCGGACCAGGCTATGTTGGTGAGGTTTTGGACGATGGAGGAGTCGATTGCGCCTGTGATCCGAGATGCAGAATGTGAGTTTCTTTTCGAGTTAAAAGGAGTCGGTCGGAAATATGTATGGAATCAATAGATAGATGTGACGAATCATCGCCCAGTACAACTGCCCCGGCGTACGAAGCTCATCCCAACTAATACTCCTTAAACATCTAAGTCAAAAGAAAACAAAACACACACCGAGCGCTAACGACCCCGGAGTCGCGTTTCTGGTAAGACTGAGGCCGAAGAGGGGATAATCGAGTCGGACTTGCTGGGCGAGGTTTGAAAAGAATGGGGTGGCTGTTTTGGGTTATTGTGTTTTCGTGTTGTTGGTTGTTTGGTGGTTGGTTGTTTGGTGGTTGGTGGTTTGTTTGGTTGGTGAGGATTGTTTGTTTGTTGGTTGTGAGGATCGATTGTTCGTGCGTCGGAATTTTGAAGGGCGCATAGATGAAGTGAGGTAATGCCGACGCCACAGCGAATACGAGCGGGTGACCCGAGCAAAAGCATACCAGGACCACGACCATGATTCAGGACAGATCAGAAACAGAAACAGATGCAAAAGCAAAAAAAGAAAATGGCAGTCAGCGAACATTCATCATTCATCAGCGATGGGCGCCAAGAACAGAACAGAACAGAACAGAACAGAACAGAACAGAAGAAGGATGATGGTAGTAATGCGTGCGAGCAACGAATATAGTAGTAGCGATGATTGCCAGGAAAGGGAAGATAGGGGTGATACGGCGGGTGTAAGGTAGGAATGAGAAGGGTGTAAGCCAGGGATAGCACTGGGTGGGAGGCTTGGAAGGTAAATGGTGAGAACATAAAAAAGGCAGACGTACCATTAGCTGCCAGAGCGTTGATAGTAGAGAGCCGGGGAAAACCTAAACCAAGGAGACCGCTGATGTCGTCGACGAAGGTGACGTTGGATTGTGTGACCAAGCCTTTAATTTCCCCAGAATATTTAGATTTAGATTTAGAATGATATATGAGAGGGAGAGGGAGATGAGGCTGAGAGGATGTAGGGACGCACCGATTGCTTGGTTCTGCATTGTTAGATTCGCGGCGGGCCCTAGCATGATTTCTTCCCGTGCGACGAAACCGGATACTCCTGCGCAGACGATGAATCAGCAGCTGAGACGGGTTACGAGGGGAGGGCGCGCAGCACGTATACGTACCCGTCGTATCCGCAAAACTGACATTAAACTCAGTCAAGTTCCCATTAACGATCCCAAACGTCGAACTCTCATACGTGAGCGGATATTGTGGTATGGACGAGCATGTGCTAGACGTGCAGTCCGAGGAGAGGAGCCACAAGTCTGAGGAGGCGGTATCGAGTGCGAGTTGAAAGCTAATGTTCCCGACATTTGCTAGGACGTAGAATGATCTGGACATACGAACGTCCGGAAGCAGCATATATATGACACATGTCAAAGAAAAGAGAAATAAGCTTCATTCATTTCGGACAGGATATTACGACGCACCCGTCTTTTGCGATATTCAGGTCTACGATCGTAGAACTATTGGGATTCCCTGGTGTCCCTGTATCGCGCTTATGACGCTCATGTAGAGCACTCGGGACACGACGAGAGGGTGTCGACGACGTCGAGAGCGATGATGGCTGCGCCTGAGATGCTTGAGAAGCCTTCGGTCGTTCGACCTGGTCTCGAGCGGCGAATTCGTCACGGTGGCCGGTAACGACGGCTGAAGCGGCGACGTCGAGGAGGACGGTGAGGAGGATGGCGAGGGCAAAAGGAATGGGGAGCATGGTGGGCTTGTGAAGACGGGGGCTATGGGCGCAGTGCCATGGGAGATGGGCCGCCAATTAAATAGAGTTAAACGAGAGAACGGGCAGATGCAACCGCGGACGTCGTCAACAGGCGCTCGTCACAGCCACCCCCTCGGCTCGCTAATCCTCATTTCGGCTACTCATCTTTCAGTCGTGCAGTGCTCTCGGAAATATATTAATGGGTACAGATACACCGTCGGCTGTCTTCACATTTTCCTCTGGGTATTTCGCAGCGCAGTATACTATCATTCCAGCAGTGTTCGGTATTAGATGGGTGTTCGGTATTGCGCTCCAACGCACGCAATTCCCCATTGTTTCTCTCCAAACCTTCTGGAGATGATATCCAGGGTTATCAAAGTGACGTACACACGCTTTGGGCACAAACCAATGTCTCGTCTATGAGTGGGGAATATACTAAAGGATAAAAAAGGCCGTTTTAGGCCGTTTAGGCCATATTCCACCTCTCTGAGCAGCAGCTCCTTCTCGTTTTTCTTGACCGTTGGCTGTTAAATACCTCTATGGGATTTAATGGTACTGCATAATTCTCCGAGGGAGTACAGGTTGGGTGTTCTCAACAAAACGAAGCGCAATGGTGTGGCGGAGAATTGACCGAACACCCATCCGCGACCACCGGAATTGATCCGGACAGGAGCAGAGACAACTTTTGGTCAATGTGAGTACCTAGGGTTGAAGCATACATGTTTGCCAGCATGTATACAAAATCTCGTGAGGTACTGTGGCGAAAAAAAGTATTGCCCACGCCACTCTGGGCGAAGACTTGGATCCTTTGTGGATCCTTGTTTTCTCAACGTGAACGAATAGATTCCATTCCCAGTTTGCATAATATGAGAGGCATGTACAGCCTATGCAAGTAGATTATCCGCTTTGAGGATCATGCTGTATTTTTGTAGAAAGAAATCCAAAAAAAGCCTGTTTTGACTGTGGGAATGAAAGAATTTATTGTAGGCTATGAAGTGCATGATTTCTTCCAAAAAAAATATGTGCATACACCTTGACGAATGTAGTATCATACTCTGAATTTTATGGGAATTGTGGTGCTGGGTACACAAAACTGCACCGAGGTATATAGAGTGGTGGCACTAGGTGTGGCCCATATACCCCCTCATAAAACATTATCTATGGAAGTTGGTGCTAAATCTTGCAATGTAACATATAGACTATCATTGTACATTCATGATATAACATCAAACATTATCTCTTGCTGTACACACCATGTGCTACAATGCCGATGTGTACCACAGAGAGTGACACTCCTTTGTATCCCCTGGTGTGCTTTCTTTCACTGTGATCAACAATTCTGGGAAAACTCATATCAAGCTACTACACCATGTAAGGTGTGTGCACATATTTTAAACTGAGGAGAAACATACACTTTGTATCCTACAATAAATTCTTTCATTCTCACAGTTAAAACAGGCTTTCTTTGAATTTCTTTCTCCAAAAATACAGCAAGATCTCCAAAGCGGGTGATCTACTTGCATAGGCCCTACATGCCTCTTATATGATGCAAATTGGAAATGTAATCCATTTGTTGACGTTGAGAAAGGAAGGATCTAAGTCTTCGCCCAGAGTGGCGTGGGCAATACTTTTTTTCGCCACAGTAAGAGGGCGGAGGAAGAGCCCTACGAGACTTTCAGTGTTTTGCGACCGAACACTGCTGGAGTGATAGTATGCATTTACCAGAGCCCCACGCCGTTCCTGGTAAGTAGTCCGGTCAACTGAACCATCTGTTTTCAAAGTCCGCGAGCCACCCGCCACAACCGACTTGTGGCAAGTCAACCGGTCAATACCAAATGATATTCGAGTCATGCGTCGATTACTTGGATATCACGATATGATTGTATAGTCTTACTTCAGTTCGCTATTCCTGCTCGACGCGCTTAGAACTCCATCATGGCTGACCCGACCTCCTTCACAAACACCTATCGACCCCCAACTCCCCCTCCCACCGTGACCCCCACCTCCCTCGAACCAGCCTACGGTCCCTCTCCCTACGACATCAACTTCTGCTACCCCCTCGACACCCACACCCACACATCCATCCTCGAATCCTCCCGCGTCCGACTCACACCCTTCATCCCCCGCCTACACGCCTCGACCTACATCTCCCAAGTCCTCGCCCATCCAGAACTTACGCAGCATTTCCCAAGTGAACATAGATCTCTTGCTGAGTTCCTCACTTATTTGGAGTATGGCGTAAGGAGGAATTCTATGTGGTGTTTGTTTGCGGTGTTGGATAAGGGGGGGCTTGCGATTGATACTGAGGGGGCGTCTGAATCTCCCGACGGAAGAGGAGAAGGAGGAAGCGAGGAGAAGGAGAAAGAGGAAGAAAAGATGGCAGGCGTAATAGGCCTCATACGTTCCGACCCAACAAACCTAAGCACCGAAATCGGCTACCTCATGACCTTCCCCTCCTTCCAACGAACACACATAACCACCCACGCCGTCTGCCTCCTCCTCCAATTCACACTCGAACTGCCTACTCGACGGGCTGGCGCGCTCGGTCTTAGGAGGGTAGAATGGAGGGCGTATGCGGGTAATGATGCGAGTGTGAGGGCTGCGGAGAGGATGGGGTTTAGGGAGGAGGGGACGAGGAGGTGGTATGTCGCGATTGCGGAGGGGAAGGAGGGATATGGAGAGCCGAGGGAGGGAGATCCGATGCAGGGGAGGAAGAGGATTGATTCGAGGGTTTTGGCGATGTGTTGTGATGACTGGGAGAGTGGTGGGAGAGAGCATGTTGAGAGCTTAATGGCGAGATTATGAAAGAACGGTGCTCTTAAATAATTACCAGGACCGATCTTAGACGCACGCGAGGAATGTAATATGTACGGGTTCATCACACGCACGAGCATAATCTCAATTAGACAAACCTTCATAGCATAGAACGACATAATTTCGAGCAGCACCAGACTCATACCGACAAGAACAGAACGTCAGGCTTCAACACCTCATCCCTTTTCCTCCCATTACCAATCCACCAAAACCCGACTCATCAACCTACCCAACCACGCCACGCCACACGACTAAACTACCTCCCGCCCCCCACCTTCGCCTTCCCCTCCTCCTTAACCAAATGCGCCAAAACCCCCTGCTCAATCGTAACCTCCCAAAGCTCCACCTTCGCCCTCTCCAACTCCTTCTGCAACGCCTTCCGCCTCTCCTTCGCCCTCTTGATGATATCCTCTTTCTTTGACTTTGCGCTAGCTGACTTCGCCGCCGTTGTCGAAGTGGTTGTGGTTGTGGTTGTGTTCGGCCCAGTCGAAGAGGGGTTACGAGCCCCGTTCGCGATTGTGGGAAGGGATGCGGAGGATGTAGAACCCGGAGAATGTTGGCCCAGGCTATCAGGGTGTGGAGCGTACAGAGGCGGGTACTGTGGCTGATGACGCGGATCGAGCACGGTAGCAAGAAGGGAGGTGGACGTAAGACCCGGAGGCGGGTGTGCATAGGCGTAGGCGTACGCGTGTGGCGAGGGATGCGAATGCGGATACGCGTGTGGCGAGGGATGCGGATACGCGTGTGGAGAGGGGTGCAGATACGGATACGCGTACGCATACGGGTAAGGCGCGGGAGTGGGTGGCATTGACATTGAGGGCGAATATGGGGTCCCTGGGCCGGGGCCGGGGAGGAAGTATGCTGGGGGATGCTGCTGTGGGTATGACTGTGGCTGAGATGATCCTGCGGGTGCGGGTGCGGGTATCGTTGCTGGAGGCTGCGTATGTGCTTGTACTTGACTACTTGCTTGTGGTTGCTGCTGCTGCTGCTGCTGAGACGACGACCCCCCACCCTCCCTACCCACACCCACCTCCCTATTCTCCACAATCGCCCTCTCACCTAAACCCATCGCAGATCCAAAACTCATTAACGCTCCGTTCGTCCTCGTAGAATGAAAGACACGATCACGACGGCGACTCGACGCGGACGCACCTAATTGCGAGAACTGCCCGAAACCCTCTCCTCTCACGATCTGGATCTCCGACTCTACACCAGTCATCAGTTCATACCGAGATAGGTGTCTCAGGGTCCATCGGCGCGATCGTCGACGCCTCCGGTGACTGGCTCTGGCTCTGCGACTGTGTCGTTGGAGGCGCGGTTTGTGACTGGACCTGCGAGGCGCCTTGCAGGTTTGACGTGTTGGGGTTGGAAAAGCCGAGGCTGTGATTGAAGCAGGGTTGAGAGATGAAGAGTAAAAAGGGATCGATCATGAACGTTATGTCGTCAAAGTCGTTGAAAGTTACAGCCCGGAGGCTGAGGAGTTAGACTGGCCATGGGCTGATGCCGTGGCAGGTGCACGTCCTGAGGTGACGATTGTTAGTCCACGTCCATGTACCATGGGCACGTTTGTCGGCGACTGCATCCGGGTTCTTACTCGAATTCAGATCGAACGAGAACGTATCACCATGCAACATCGAGTTGAAAGCTTCCAGATCGGGATCAAGAGATGCAGAAAAGTCCATGTCGTCGAACGAAGTTGACGTCGTGGAATCATTACATGATGGTAGGAGAATCGGCGGCAGAGAAGGCAACGGAGGGGTCAGGAGCAAGGGCAGGAGCGGATTGTATATCAGATAGCATTGGAGCCATTAATGATCGCATGAGATCATCGAATGCCTTTCTGGTCGAGGTGGTGCTCTGAGGTGACACTAACAGAGGGATTCTGGCAGTAGACTCAGAGGTGAAGCGGAAGCGTCCCATGGTATCTTCTACTAGACGTTACTTGTACGAATTTGCGTCTAAGTCGACGCGGCGCAAGGCGGAGTTGATCACGTGTGGCCACTCCGCCGAGCCGCGTTCGTGGCGCGTTCCAACTTCCCGGATTGCCAAAAAGGAAGGAAACGGCTTCAGGAGGGAATAGCGCTGCCTTACTCTGTTCTGCTGAGGCCTTTCACGAAGGTCCTACTCTCAACTCTCTCTATACTCGTACTTCGACCAATCTTAGCATTTACACTCCCAAAATCATTTCGAGCATCCCAGATGGTGAGACAGCAACCACGGGACGCCGCGAGAGATGGGAGTGGGTGAGAGCCCTACCTATATGGTATGTCGGATGACCGCCTGGATCTTCTGTGTCGTAGGTTCTGGTGGCAGTGGAAGTCTTATGCTGCCGTGAACGGTGAGATACCAAAGAAGGTGCGTATGTGTGGTTCGCCTTTCTTTTCATCTTGTGTCGCAGGTGCGCAAACTGCCTAAGTATCGTCGACCTGGTGCTCTTCATAGCAGCCCAAGTTATAGGAATCCAATTTTGATTCTCGAATAACAGGGCTGAATGCACTTTTACTCCGTCTCAGATATTTTTTATAGACTTGATGCACGAAGCTGTATACCAGAAAGCGCGCTGACATCCACCTCTGCACCGTGCGGATCTCTTGCGATGAATGAGACAACCGGCGGTGCAATACCAGTGCCTCTATGATCACGACTCATGATATGTGGGCGCTTCGTAGCGAGTATATATCTGCCTCACAGGATCCTCGGATTTTCTCACATGGCCATTACGCTACCGCGGGTGCGGGTTGATAAGATGGAAACAAATTTCGCAGATTAGGTTCTACATGTTCTCCACGACGTGGCACTACTTATTTTAATTCGCAGGTGATGATTCAACGAATTCACTGCCTCCTGATCTACTTAATCGCCCCCGTGATCCATGGCGATGGCGCTGCGCTGCACGTTGACAGGTGAATTTGTTTTTTTGGAAGCGATGAGAAACTAGAGATGGATACTGGTTGCTAAAAAAAGTTAGTTAACACGGCGTTTTAGCTACACCGAAGGTTAGGAGCTGGGCAGCGTCCATATTTAACAGGCGTCTCACTATACGTTGTTGAGCGATTTCAATGAGCGATCGGGTGAACACCCGAAAAAACATGATAGGTGAACATTGAGGCAATCGAAAGCATCTTCGCTGCGCTGGACTCTTCGTTCACGGAATGATTTCACTTTTTAGAGCGCGCTCTTTCGAAGGCTAGTGCATATCATCATCCAGTTTTTGTTAGACCCCAAAAATGGCGTGCTCCGTATTTCCTCCATGCCTCGGCCGGTGGTCTAGGAGCACGACTGTATGCATATAGATAACGCTTCTCTGCGCTCTTCTGGACATGAACAGCCATCCTGATTCTTTGCCTGCAATGCACTGTCTCAACTGTTCTGATTCCAGTGCAATAGCGGGTGCCATACAGGTATACTAACTGCATGGTTCAGCGTTCTTTTACCCCATCTTTACTTTACTTGGGACTGTGTGGACTCCGCATTCCTTCTTTCCGCAATCGCATTCCCTGACATGACACAGGCTAGTTCCTTCCTATAGCAGAACGGCTCGACATCGATCAGCCGATCACTAAGAACCTAGGTCCATTCGGGTTTTGCCCGACAAGCGTCGCAGTAGACCTAGCGCCGTCGCCCTCGATGGTCTAAACACTATTTTCATTATCAAGATGATCTATACATGCGCAAACCATAACAGCTTCCATTTACAATGGAGGATATCGCGGGAATACGACACTGTCCATCAGTGCCTCACAGTTCACCAGATGTTTTAAAGCAGGCCTCATATCCGGTCGAATCTCTCGTCCACACCCCCAACAGTTGACAATCACGCTCTTCTTCATCGCATACGCACAATCACTTCGTTGATCGACATGACATTTTCATGGTCTTGTCCCTCCTTCTCAAAGAAGTCAAAAACTGACCCTCAATCTACGTCAGTAAAGTCGCTGTTCCCCTTGACATCAAGCTAATATAGTGTCACAGTCACGACGGAAACGATCACGACCTGTGGGTATTAACGACCACCTCCATTACAGCCAGGCTCACTCAGCTGCATTCGGGCTAGTCCTCCCTCGAATATTTTCGCTCTTATAATTGGAATCAACCAATACAAATACATGAGCAGCCTGCGTGGTGCCGTCGCCGATGCTGACGATGCTTCAAAATTCTTTGAGACGCGGGTTCCAATCAAACGTATCCGTAACCTTAGAGATCAACAGGCAACTCGGAAGAACATCTTGAAGGAACTGGAATCTCTTGCGACAAACGACGCCATTAAGAAGAACGACCCTATCATTATCTTCTTTGCTGGGCATGGGGCTCTGGCAAAGCTTCCTGAGGGATGGAACACCGGGGGGCGCGAGCACGGACGAGTGCAGTTGCTTTGTCCCTATGGTTTTCTTCCGGAGGCAAATATTGACATGCGAAAACAAGGTATCCCCAGCCTTACCTTGGCCAACGTGCTCAATGATATATCTCGGGCTAAAGGCAATAATATTGTGAGTAACAAGCACTCTTAGTCTATGGAGCTGATGATGTCCTTTTTGGACAGACGGTTATCCTAGACTGTTGTTACGCTGGCGGGGGAGCTCGGCACGAAGATGACGATACGTACATCATGAAACGCAGTGTGGATCTCGACAATGACTATATCATCCTGCCCACCATCCTGCCCACCATCCTGCAACATCAGGCTACGCCGTCTACAACCACTTCCAGTCCAGAATTGGACGAACAGGTTGCTCGTGCGCACCATCAAAAGTTCGACCCGAGGACATCGGGATTTTGGTCTAGCATCGTCCTGGCCGCATGCAAAGACACAGAGGTCAGCTTAGAAGAGAATGGACGTGGACGTTTCTCCAAAGCTCTCTTCGAGGCGCTCCGCGCTGCTGGGAATGCTGGTGAGCTGGATGGGTTAACATACGAGAGCCTTATTGATCGTCTATCTATACTTGATCGGTAAGTCGACTGTCAAGAATTGTAACGGGACTAAGGACGCCGTAACATATACTTATATGCCTGTCTTGTGTACACAGCCAGAATCCTCAATGCATAGGCGGTGACAAAGCCAGGCTCTTGTTCAGTTTCAAGACATTCGATTCTCTTGTATATTTCGAGGTCACGAAGTCAGAGCACGACGGGATATTCCACCTGAATGCTGGCGAGGCTTCCGGAATCAATACCGCGGCCCGCTTCAATGTCTACGGCAGCAAAAGTATCGAAACACAACTTCTTGCCACCCTCACCGTCATAAAAACCACCCACGACTCCGCTGACTTGAAGCCCACAGACGGCTATTCGGATTTCCACCTCCCTCCGTCTGGAGTGGCCTATGCTCGGCAAATTCACGGACAAGGTTCGGCGGAGAGCTTGAAGCTAGTTATTCCTCCAGGGAAGCCTCTCCTGACCAGAGTCAGCGCTCTAGTCAACGATGCGCATTCGAATGGGAGGCTCAGGGTCCTTCCTGACATGAGGTTGGTGATGGATGGAGACGATACGGTTGCCTTCGAGGTCAAGAACGGCATCTGGAGGGACCAGAATCTGAAAACCCTGTACTACAAGATTCAGCGATACACATCCGACATCCACCCCAGAAAAACTTCTGCACGGCTACAATACCGAGTCCGCTGCCGCAAAACCTCTGAAACCTCCAAATATGATGACGACACGTTCGACGACGTATTTGACGACGAAGACTCTGCCAACATCCGCTTCGCCGACAGAGTATTTAGTGTCATATCGAGCGCGGCAAACTTTTACTTCCACCTCTCTCGCGAACCGACCAAAGCCAATCCCGATGAGCCCATTGCAGATGTTCGTCTCGAATGTTTCGAGCTTGATGAGGTTCGCAATGGGCCCAGCCTCAAGAGATTCACCCGAGAGAAGGACCCGAAGACTAATCTCATCGATAATGGTGCATTGAACGTATCCGTGTCAGTAAAGAAGGTTCTCGGTTTCAAGATCATCAACGGGACCGACGTTCCCCTTTACGCCGCTTTGTTTTACTTTGACATGAGCGATCTGAGCATCAGTACGCTACTTTAATATTGATCACTTCTACGTCCGCGAAGCTCACGTTCTCTCCTTGATGCATGCTTACGTCTCAGTGTCTTATTACGAACCGAGCTTAGCGAAAGGTAGCAATGCACAACAATGCATCCCCGCTGGAGGCGAGCTCACTGTCGGCTATGGATCAGGAACCGGGCGTCCTCGCAGATACGCTCTTAGAGATGGTCAGACAATCGATGTCGCATACCTGAAGCTGTTTTATTCGACGAGATGGGTAGATTATTCAAGAATCAAACAGTCGTCTCCATTTAGTCAGGAGGCTCGTTTTGGAGACCAGATCAAATCGAACGATATGGTTGCTCCAGTATGGAACACCATCTCTGTTCGTTTCACCCAGACCACCTGACCCACATCACTCCTGTGAGGAAAAACCCATCTTAGTCCTTCCCCCTATCTCGTCAAGCTCACTACACTCCTCAATCCCTTCTTCTCTCAGTCTCTTATCTTCCTCTTTCACACTCTTGATGCTCACTGACCTTCATGACCTGCAGTACTCTTGCGACCCTTACAATCACCCGGCTTGATGTCCGTGACCACGACATAGCTCTCATGGGCACTTATTATTTCCTATCACACTACACATGTTCTTCCTCCCTTCGCTGATGCCAGCCCCCTTCTCCTTTCTTGTTGATGTGTGGTCCCTTGCTCAAATATTTGTTTATTCACAAATTTACGCTGCCAGATGCTCAGCCTGCGGTATGATGGTTTTTCTTGGACGGAAAACAGATATTCTGTTCAAATTATGAGGGACTATGATGTCCGAGTCTGACTGAGTCTGGTGAGGTCTTATGAGCTACGATGTGAGACAACTTCATTAGACCATGTCAAACCTTGTCAAGCCTCGACGGACCTCAGCCAACTTTGTCGGACTTCATTGTATGGGCAGAACTGAGCAAACTCCAGCAAGCCAGATAAGACTTCATCAGACCTTAGACAACTTACATCAGCAAGGTCGCACGCGTCTGGACCAGGCCGTCCAGGCAGTCTCCAGAGTTTCCCAAGAGTTTCGAGAGCTCCAGACAAGCGCATGAACCCAGAAAGACCGACGCGCGACCAGGACCTCGTCTGGGATCATAAATACCGTCTGGAACGTCTGGAGACTGACATCTCCAGTCATTCCAATTCCACCATAAATGCATAAAATACACATATTTTACTTATTTACATGATACTACACTACGGGTATCGAACAACGTTCATACACACAAACAATCACCTCTAAGACCGTCTTCCTGTTACCAGCTCAGCCATTGAAGGGCTGCCAATAATTACCAGGCCCATCCCTCGACCAAAACCCTCCTCAATGACGATACCCGACGAATGCTGATTCGCAGCGTGGTCGTGACGCAGTTGTATGGCATGCCGGAGGATCATAAATAATTGATGCGGTATGTATAAAGGAGGGTGACGCACCTCTTCTACTTCACAACCCGCGAATACAACGACCGATGTCCCTCGCACCCATGTGCAAGCGCAGGTGTGCGTGTATGTGAGAGGTCGCATGGGAGAGGGCGAGTGCCGAGGGGTTAAGGAGCTGGGATGAAAATGGGAGTGAGCAAGGAAGAGAGGACGTGGATGCAGTAAGGGAGAGCGACGGGCCCGGAATGTCGCTGGTCTGGCTAAGGATGTTGTTGAGCGACGATGAGGGGGTGAGGAAGGAAAGGCGAGGGTGAGTATGCCATTGACGAAGGGAGAGGGAAGAAGACACGACGAAGTTGGGGGAGGTTGAGTGAACGAGGGAAGAAGAGAGAAGAGAAGAGGATGGAGGCCGCACCCAACGCGATCCACTTCACGGAGTGATTGCGAGCGCGGGTGTGCGCATAAGGTCGTGAGTGAGAAAACGAGCGCCGAGCGATGAAGAAACGAGGAGAAAAGCGGGAGTGGGTGGGAGTGGGCGAGAAAGAGAGGGTGTGAATGTGATGAGGGAGCTCGACGGGGAGTGTCGAGGGAGAGCAGTGGTACGATCACAAAAGAGAGAACGATAGAGAAGGCTAAAAGCACTTACAATGGCCCGAGCCTCCGGCAGGCCACCCAGCCTCCACGATACAGCTTTCCCTCATTCTAACTTCCGTTTCATTTACTGCTCAACCGTCGCGGCCGCACCCTGGAGCGTTATCACTGATAGCGCTGTTAGGACGGCCTTCCTGGCTACAGGTATCGTGGGGCGACAATGAGGGAGTGAAGAAAAGAGTGAGAAAAAAAAGGGGGGCATGACAAGGTTAGGGGAGATCTAGCGAACGAGCGAAGGAAGGAGGAAGAGTGAAGTAGAGAAGAGGGAAGGATGAACGGGCCAGTGTTGTGCCGGTCGCGCGATAGTCTTTGGGGTCTCGGTCCGAAGACTCGGAACTGTCGCGCGACAGCCGAGCGACCTTGGAAAGGCAGGACCTTGAAGATCATCTAATCTAATCTAATATGGAGTGTGGCGGTGGCAAAATTGAGCTGTTGCAGACGTCGTACTGATCACTCGACATTGGTGCCCGCTCCGATGTTGTATAGGATGAGTTTGAATGATAATATGTGCCCCCATCTGTGCAATGAGCAGGTTCTCTTTTTGATTCAAGTGCACAAGGCCGTGTTGTATGTAAATCAGTGCACTGCATGTAATCTACATATGCATACTTATGCTTTGCTGTAGAATATGCCCTTATGTGACACAATCTTGTGTGTCTGCTTAAATGGCTTATGTCTGGATTGTATCTGAAGGGATGTGTGGTGCTCAATAATGAGGGTAATGAGGGATGGATGTTGGTGAAAGAGGGCAGGTGGCACCGGTGTGGCCATGATCAACTGTTTACACCTAATGAAAAATTGGATGAGGCTTGAGTCGGAGTCAGTAACTCCGTCCGACCATAGGAAACCAAATTGAACCATGTTGAACATCAGCTGAGCACAGCTGATTCTGCTCGTGCTCATTGTACAGACTTGGAGTGGAGAGAACCTCACGAACTCGGTGCAATCCAAGACAACTTGTGTGGCCGAGTTTCACACCGATGCCTGAGAAACAAGTTCAACCAATTTCAAATATATTCTCTGAATTCCACCGATCTCTGACAAAAATGTCTGAGGGCATCGCGTCCATTTTCCTGAGCAGTTGGACCTTGGACAATCTCATAGTGTACTGTATAACTCCTCACTTTCGGGCTTCACATGTATCCTTGTTGGACTAGCGGCAAAAAAACGACCATGCAGTCATCCTTTGCTCTCAGTCATCAGCATGGGAAGTAGCGAGCCGGAAGTCATTGTCAAGAAGCACAGAATGAAATATGTACAGACTGCTCACAGACACAAGCCTGAGATGTGGTGACGTTTACAACGAATTTGCCATCGACAGCACAGGATATCATAAGGTATTCACCATGCAGAGAGTACACAGAACACACTATGCATGTGACACATTTCGAGTTGTGATCACCCAGGCCTCGGTAATATGGAAAAAACAGCGGGCGAGCACAGAACACGTCTTGGAGGTTGCTTGGAGGCGCTGTGTCGACTCGTCTTACATCAGCAAATGACCAAATATGGGATAAGACCCCAGGATGCCCAAGGTCTCGGTCGCTGAGGTCGCTTCGCAGACCGGATCCGGCTGTCCACGCGACTTACAGCGACAGTCCCGGACCGGCACAACACTGGAACGGGCACAAGTAGTCTCCTGCACAGACCTTATATAAGAAATCATTATATAAGGTCTGTTCCAATTTCTGGGACTTTGGCGGGGCGACCCCGAAAGACCATATAAGGAAATTTCTGGGTCGCGTCTCAGCTCGGTGCCACACGCAAGGGTGGCACAGACAAGTTGCGTAGGTTTTCATCTCTGCTGCTGAATTCTTCCTGCTCGTGCGTAACAAATTTTCTCTGCCATTTTATCCTGCATCCATGCTGTATTTTCGACACAAAATTGTGATCATAAGAGTCTAAGAGAAGTACATAGCTTTCAAACTGGGACGTCCCCCCCC